GTCTGAAAACGGGTATACATTTTGCCCATTTTGTTCTGGAATCGGGTATCGTTTTCGATGGAACTACGGGGGTGATTCTGTTTTGGGTTTTCTGATTCTGTTTTGAGTTTTGTGATTCTATTTTTGGTTTTGCGATTCTGTTTTGAGTTTTTTGATTCTGCTTTGAGTTTTGTGATTCTGTTTTGGGTTTTGTGATTCTGTTTTGAGTTTTGTGATGCGGGTTTTGTGATTCTGTTTTGGGTTTTGTGATTCTGTTATTCTGTTTTGGGTTTTCTGATTCTGTTTTGTGTTTTGTGTTTCTGTTTTGGGTCTTGTGATTCTGTTTTGAGTTTTGATTCTGCTTTGAGTTTTGTGATTCTGTTCTGGGTTTTTTGATTCTGTTTTGAGTTTTGTGATTCGGATTTTGTGATTCTGTTTTGGGTTTTGTGATTCTGTTATTCTGTTTTGGGTTTTCTGATTCTGTTTTGTGTTTTGTGATTCTTTTGAGTTTTGTGACTCTGTTTTGCTCCTATTGGCCACCTTAAATACGTAATCTGTTCGTTGCATTAATCAAAATCAAATTGCTGTAGTGTTCGTTTTAGTGGTTTTATTAATTATGCAACCGACTAAAAATGACTGAAAATTGGGGCGAAATCTTAGCAAAATGGGGCTCAGTTTGAATTAGCGACGAGTTCTAGTTATCCGAGTTCGAGTTATCGGGGTTAGTATTGCTTATCATCAATGTTATGCCGTCAAGGATCGTCGTCACATTAATCACACGTGGTTCAATTAGTCGGTCAAACGACACCGCGGTGAGTCAAATTAAACACAGGAGTTAGCTGGTAAAGTACGAGTGGTCCAGTAAGTCCAGTTGCTCTTCAAGTCTTCAAGTATGTAAACAATCGAGTGATGCTTCTTAAATATAGTATGTGGATGTTTCAATTCTGTCGGTCGAGCGGAAAATTCAGTCAATCATAATCCACCTTAATTAGCTTTTCTTTCTAACTATTCTCTTTTTTTAGTATTAAAGGCGGTCTGAGTCAAGTCGAGGGCAGCGATTAAACTTTTTTATTACGTAGGAATGGCTTGGGAATTTATTAGAACTTGGAAACAACGCTAGTGAAATACATTTGTATTCCCTAATTTCACTTGTCAACATTTGATTATTACGTTAACGTCTAAGCCATGACCTGATAGAATGTTTTGTGAAAGAGTTTCGCTTCACCGACTAGTGAAACCTTTCAATAAAAAAAAAATTAACTACAAGAGCGCTGGATCGGAGCAGTCAGAGATACGTTAACCCAGCCATAACAAAGGCCAGCACACAGTGTATTTATCTGACATAAACGTGCAGGACTATTTGACGGCCAGAGATCATTTACCATATTCCTACTTAAGGCCACTTTGCGACTGCCCCTTCCACAGACTTTTCCAATTTGGTTTAATAGTGGGGAGCAGGGAGTTATATTATATTGCTGCCTGGAGACAAGCGAGTAGCGGTGTTAGGGGGATACTGGCCAATTAATTCAATTAATTTAATTTTTCGCACGATCCTATGGCGGTTCTGCCATATATGATGAACTGTCGGGTATGCCGCTGCTGTGGAGGGTAATGTTTTGAAGTCGATTATTTAGGGATACGGTATAAAAGGTTAGCCTGCAATCCAAGCGTATCCTTTGGGTGAGCGAAAGCCGGTGGTTTATCGTTTGGTAATGCCGTGGCTGACATATTTTTGATTTTATCAATGAGATAGCTTATGGCGCATAGAAGTAGCTACCCTTAAAGTAGGCTAACAAATGTGTCGGGATCGAGTAAAGGGTCAGAATTCAACATGATGGTTACGCAAGCCAAAAAAACATTTGCGCACTCAAATGCAGGCTAGGATTTGGTCTAAAATGGAAAACTGATTAGTACCGTGTAATAGGATAATAGGGAATTACGATGGGAGTTTTTCAGCTTCGTAGTTTAGCTCATAGTCTGGTCTAGGTTAGCTTTGTGACAGGAGCCCATGGAAATTTTTGGGCCTTAAGTCTAGAGTAGGTATGCCAAATGTAGCCGGCGAATAAGGCCGAATATAAATTGAGAGCTCCACAAGCCAAGTCTGTTAAAGAAGTTTGTAAATTTACTATAGACGCTTCACTATCTCAAGAAAAAGGTCCAGATTTTCAAGCGAGTGCTAACCAATGGCTAACGAAGAATAACAGCAAGAGTTTCCAGGGGCACCCAACGTCAATTTTCGGAAAATATCTGTTCAGAAGACGATTTGAGATCTAGAATTTTCGGAGCATTTGCTGTAAAATTTCTTGCTTGCCTGCCTCTCCTACGATTCTCGAACATCTAAAAAATGGTAAAATAGCCCATTTTTAACGGATTTTTACCCTACAAAGCTCACCTACAATTTTAGGGAGCCTTTTTCTGGCTGAAATTTTCGAAAAGATAAGTTTTGATCCCTATAATTTTCGGATCACTAGACTTTCAGCTAGGAAATTATGAACAGATGAAAAATTTTTAGGGGATAAAAATATGCCTATATCTACCGTTTAAATACTAAAATACGTTTAACAATGCTATGTTTAAGTGGTTTTGAACTATATTATCGTTGGGTGCCCCTGAGTTTCTCAGGTTCGTGTTATTCTAGGACTGGGTTAAAGAGTGTATGCCTGGGTGGTTTTCTGATAGCGGCCCAAAGAACGTTAGGTGCGTACGAACCGTAACACACTGTGCCCTGATGTAATAATGAGATGCACGCTCCGTATGTGCTCAGAACACGGACTGTCAGCAATGCTCACGGTTTGTACGGCGTGTACGATCGGTCAACTGCTCTTTACGGTGAGTAACCGAATGCGGCAGTATTGGAAATGACTGGGGGAAGGGGGTGTTTGCTCAAGCTACTTCCAGCCTTGTATGTTATTTTATTTAGATATTATCCCTCTACTGTCTCCAGTTAGCCATCATAAGTATCATTGTCTAAATTTACAAGTATCATTGTCTAAATTTATGTTTTGTGATCATTTTCCAGTCGGAGTAGACTACGAGTAGTCCCCCATTTTTCCTCAGGGATGGTAGAGCGAGCAAAACGCGAGCGCGCGTGAAAATCAACTTACGCGAGAAAAGGGCGACACGCGGCGGGAGATTTTTCTCTCTCCCCGCCGCGTGTCGCCTTTTCTAGCGTGGGTTGATTTTCACGCGCGCTCGCGTTTTGCTCGCTCTACTATCCCTGAGGAAAAATGGGGGACTACTCGTAGTCTACAGTTGGAGCAGTTCAGCGAAGATACAATAGATCAATGACCATACAGAATTACAATAGCTGTGGTCACACTACAGACTTTTTACCTACGTAAACGCGACTTGTTGACAGTTTACCTAGGGAAACTTGATTTTTTAAGTGTGACCGATTTTTCCCCAGGTAACGTAACGTACCTCGGAAAAATTTTATCGCCTGGGTCTTGGATATGTCTCGAAAACAATAGAGTTTCCCTTGACAGCTACCCCAAAGCAATAGCTATGGGAAAATGAAATACCGAGGTTGCTAGCCAATAGACGCTCATCGGCGAAGGTCTTGATGACAGAACCGGACATAGATCACGCTGTGAAAGAAATTTGGGGAGCACGAGTCGTCTGCGTCTTAGCCTTTCTTCACCTTGCACGTTGAATTAGCGTAACAAATAACAGCGAGATAAAAGAAAAAAACGTCTCTTTTATAAGCTAGATCCCTGCGCATTTTGCCTTCTTGAATTTACGCGCCAAAAAAATTCAACTGGCGTAAAAACTTGGGAGCCGATATCAGTAGTGTGACCTTCCCAGAATTTTTACCTAGGTAAAACAAAACCCGAGATGAATTTACCTAGGCAGATTTTTGATGAATTTGCCCTAGGTAAATCGGTTTTACCTAGGTAAAAGTCTGTAGGGTGACCACAGCTAATAACCATAGAACAGGAACATTGACAAGTTCCCGAGAATTCACAAGAATTCCCAAGAATTGTCAGAAATTAATTTAACCGTAACTACATTCATCAAAAGAACGGAGTCTTATTCCAGTAATATAGCTGTGAAGGGTACAAGGCTTGAATTGAATTTCGGTATTTCTAAACGTAAAGTTAAATACCACAGGGGGCAAAAATAAGACGTGACTGACGCGCAAACACTGACGACTCGTCATCACGAGGTTGCACTTCACCGGGTGAGATGAAATTGTTACCTTGTCAGTCTTCGACGTATTAACTGAATCCACATTTCGAGCGAATGCTTAAACATTTCAGCCATTACAAATTATAGTAAAACAGGAATGTTTAGTGCCCTACTTAAAATTGATTGGACGCAAACCTCACATTTGTTAGCAGCTACTATCGCTGTAAGGTCCAGTAACTGCTTGAAGTCAATCTGAACATTTTGTTTCGGGATGAAAACATAATCTGCGTGTCCAGACAGTCCGCAGAGGTGACATATATACTGTATTTTTATAGTGTAATAGTAATCAGCGTAGCTGAACCCTTTCGAGGCGCTCGCTACTGCGACCGGTAAAATTTTTAACTAGACACACACGTGACCGCAGCGCTCTATCGCAACGTAGTCACGCGTGTTAGAACCGGTGGACACTGTGTTACACGAATATGACCCGAAATCCATTTTATAACACATGCATGGAGTGAGGATAGCGATAAGGCAGAATTGTTTGAGCGCTGATTTGCATGCAACAAAATTGAGGTGAGATCTAGGCTTGCAAACACTATCGTTTTTTATAAGTCACCTATTTTACATCTCGATACTGACCTAAATGATCATGGCGGTTCTGGGGTTCTGATCTACACGGTTAAATGCGCATATATTGTGTCAAAAACATGATGATCAATTATTTTAATACGAATTTACATGGTGGGAGGGTAACTTTCAGAACTTTGTGCTAGGGTTGAAGTTAGTTCTGGTTTACAAGCAACTTTCACAGGTAGGGTTATCCTATCAACCGGCTCAACTTTACCAGATATACAGATGTGTTTCGTAATGCGTGACGTTCTTCATAACGCAGATAACGTCTAAGATTTGAGATAAAACTTGAAGTTCTCTGAGGGAAACACGTTAAATTCACGACAAAACGGGAAAATATTATCATCATATAGAGAAATTACCTTGCATTGTTCAGATGTTTATAATTTAGCTCAGAAATTGGAAAATTCCGTTCAAATTGTCATGAAGATTACTCAGGTCACGCTTCACGGAGGAAAGTTGTCCCGGGTAGACGAGTTATCCCTTGCAGAGCGTTTACAGGGCAGGTAGGAAAACCCTCTTACTATGGAAACCCTAACACTCAGGTAGGGTTACCCTAGCGCTAGGGTATCCCTACCTGCCTTGTAAACACGTCTAAAAAGAGAAGAAATGCGCGAGTGCTCGAGTGCCCGTCTGGCTGGAGTAACCCTAGCATCAGGGTTACCCTCACTGCAAATAATATCTATAGGGCGCGTATTAGCGTCAGCGAGACTATAACTCCCAAAAATTCCTGAGAATTCTCAAGAGTTGTATTTCGAATTCCCTTGTCAAATTGAAATTCACATTATTCTCGAGAATTCTTGAGAACTCCCGAGAAGTCCCAGAAGGTGTGAAATTGTTGTAGAGAGCCACAGTGACTGAAATTCGGAAATTCCGTGGAATTTCTGCGAATTTTATAAAGTTGCAAGCTTTCTCAAGAATTCTCAAGAAGTACTGGGAATTCTTGAGATTTACTTTGTTACCGAGAATTCGTGGGAATCATTTCGCACGGGAAAAAAAGGCGTGTTTACAACTTCTTTCCAAGCTTTCCAACACTTTGGTAGAATTGTGCACTAAAGACTTTCATCGTCACTGCTTGGATTTGTTTGCTTTTCACTAAACCTTTTAACACACTCTTTTTCGAAGGCATCCATTGCATCAGCATCAATAAGTACGAAACGAATGTCTACTAACGTTGTACCTTCTTGTTCCTTTACACCCCCAGTTTTCTGCTCTGAAGCTTTCTTCATTGTTTCCTTTCCATTTTTCTTTTTCTCTGCTTTTGTTCCTTTCACATCTGCTTCCTCAGCGTCTTCTTTTTTCTGCAATTTAGTCTTTTTTAACTGCTCCAGGTACTGTTCCACTCCGTTAAGCATAGACGAGGCACACAGGTCTATTGGGACACCAAACAGTCCAGAGCTAATGGCAGGTAAAGCGATGGAAGATAAGCACAGCTTAGATGCCAGTTTAAGACTCTCGACGCACGCCGTGTGAAGCAGATTTATGGTTTTCTTTTTAGATTGCTTTTCCCATTCCGGACCCACAGCATGTATTACATACTTACAAGGCAAATTCCCGGCCTTGGTATAGACTGCTTCACCCAAGCTCAGTGGCCTACCTCGCCGTTCTTCAGATATCAATTCATCCGATTCGCTCTGAATATTAGGGCCACCTTTCTTGACAATATGCCCTGCAAGGCCAGCTATATGCTGCAGAAACTCGTTTGCAGGGTTAACGATTGCATCAACATTCTCACTCGTTATGTCTCCATAACGTAAGGAAATGTTGACACCACCCTCCGTGCGATAGGAATATGTTACTATGGAAACGCTTCCTGGCCCTGCCAAGGCCATTTGCTGAGTTTCAAAGAGCACATCACCACCAACAGTCTGTTCGTACATTCTCTCTTCTAAACTCAATTTCACTTGCTCGACCGATGCAGTATCTCCATAAACAACGAAAGGACCGTTTTCTTGCAGCTGACCCAATATAACTGGGAACTCTGACGAGAGGTATTGGATCAAAGAAACAGCCACTTCTTTATCCTTGCCCTTTAAATCCAACTCCCAAGAAGTCATACCCTGTGAGGCTGAATTGAGAACCATAACAAATCTACTACAAGCTTCATTGTACCTAACGGGATCACAGTCTTGTGTAGGTTTCAATGTAACTTGGGTGTCAGAATTCACAATCTCAAAGGAGACGAGGCAATCCTTGCTGATATCCTGCACCTGTTTCGTATAAAACTGTCTTATGAAGCTCACAGCTAAAGGATCAGTGTTAAACGTCTGTATGTCAGATTTCAAAGGATGGGCAACTCCTTCAGTTTCTTCTGTGCCGATTTTCCCACTGTAAAGATCTTTTTCCTCAGCAACGTCGTAAACTGGCGTCGCTATAATAACACCAGCGTTCTCACCATCAGACGTATTCGGTGTCATAGTTTTGTTGATTGCTCTTTCCGTCCCTGCTGAAACATCCTCGACGTTTAACGAACAGTTGCCTAATTTATCAGAAATGTTCTCATCTGGCGTTAAATACTTTTGAAGGAGTAATTGACAGTCATTGATCTCCTTTAGTGATCCACGAATCAAAAAGTATCGCTCTTTATATTCAAAGGACACACCTATCTTCGCTTTAATTTTGTCCAGAAGTTGTTCAACCTCGTGTGGCGAAATGTTCAATTCATTGGGATCCAGTGTTGCCGTAACGTTTGAAAAAACCTTACATATTGTCAAAGAAAGAAACAAAATTCCAATCACTGCACGATACATCAAAGGAACAAAGCTTAGAAGATGTTAGACCTTGAAATCCTAAGGAAAGACATTGTCTTAATCATAAAGGGATAAAGATGACCAGCAGTATTTTGACAACATTCTAAAAAAGAAACAGGCAAGCCATGGCATAGTTGCCAAGGGTCAAGAAGCACAATTGAACGGTAGGGTATTGACCACAATAATATTCATGCCGAACGCTCCAAGTAAATTCAGGAAGGTTCTGGGAAAGCAGAACATTTTTTCAAGTGGGGGGCATGAGTAGTGACATTATGGGTTGGCTGAAGAGACGCTTTTCTTAGTAAGTCTGTCCATGGGGGTGTGTGTGCAGCATGCTTCAAGAAATCGTATCAGCTATTCCAGAGCAGATTATGCGATTTTCCTGACCCTTTCTTTTAGATATTTTGGACCCGACCCAAAATCCAACACCTTGCTGACTTCAAAGCAGAGGGTTGAGGCATGTACACTCTGACACATGAACCCAGCTGCCTAGATTTAAGTGTTTTAGTTAACATCACTATTTGAGAAACGCTCTCTTCTCAAGAGGTAAATAATAATAAACATTTGTTTCTCTTTTAGACTGTAAAAAAACTTCAGACCAAAGTATACCTTTTTTCGGACTATGGAGGTTAAAAAGCTGTACCCAAACAAGGGCATAAAATGGTTAGCATTGAATGAGGGAGTACCCCACCCAACTCATTTGTTGAGACAAGATGCACGGATTCCAAGCGTTACTTTTAACTTACTTCATCAACGACAGTTCTTTTCTCTTGATATCGACCAATGGTAAGCACACCTCCTTCAATCCTGTGTTCTGTTTTGAGAACTGCTTCTACAGCTATAAAATATACAAAAACGAAAAACGTGTTCATTAATTAATATCGGTAATTGTAGTCTGAGAATTAATGCGGCTGAAATAAACAGTAATGTCACGCACTGGTCTAAACAAATTCTGGGTGTGTTACAAGAACCATTACTGCGTCACACAATTGACAAGAAATCATATCCATGCCAGTCACGTCATGGAGTACTTCTAAAATTTAAAAATATCCCACTATAAGCAGAATAGGAAAATTTTCTCCGACATTTTTAGGCACATTATAAATACGTGCATGTCTTAATGGGTGTTAATCGTGTTTGATGGTAAGTTGTATTATTGACTTAAGTGTCAGTGTTTGTGTAGAACAACGAAACCTTTTAGCAGTGAACGGGGATTAAAGTGATACATGTATTGCAGTTTGTAAAAAAAATAATAATAATTCGTTCACATCTTACTTTCCGCATCTTCAAATGTTACAATAGCGCTGTTTCCGTTTGCTGTGAGAGATATCGATGACACATCGCCGCCGCCATGTTTGCGCTGTTGAAAATGAATCACAAGTGCCTCTTCTTTGGTCCCCGGAGGAATGTTCGATACTACGATACTCTTCAAAATATCGTCTTTACTTATCTTCCCACGACTCAAGCGAGAGGAAGCCATAACGTTCAGTAGTGGGTAAAAACTAGTGACGTTGGAATTCGTCAGACTGATTCGTAGTGTTAGAGCGTCGATCGTCAAGAAGATAGAATGAACCCGAGAACGTCATTGCATAAATTATCTTATGAGGGAAACAGGGGATTCCCCGGTTATAAAATTGTGCTTTTTTTCAAAAAAAGCAATAATTGATATTGTAAGACAAAAGTTCAGTAAGTTGCATATCAAACCGCTTTTTTCACGCCCAAAGATAATGCAATAGAAGGAAATTACAGCATGAATACGTTCAAAAATTGAATTTAAATAAAATCCTTGTGACGTGGTTTCTTGGAACTAGAGTGTCTATGTGACATCATTTCTCGGAAAAGAAGAACCAGCTGTGAGAGAACAAAGATAACCAATGAGTGATCTCCCTTAATCTTATCAACCAATCACAATTCAACTTTTAGGGCACTAAAAACCCCCTAACAAGCAACATTTACATTTCCGTCAGTTTCGTGAGGATAAAGGAGTCTGAAATTAAATATGTTCCTTGCTTCTCCCTGATCCAAACGGAAAAGACCATGGAGAGTTCGCGTATTCTAGTCACTGGATTGCCAAAAGATACAACAGAAACTGATCTTACGATATACTTTCAGTCTGTCAGGGATTCCGGAGGTGGTGATGTGAAGAAAATCGAAATCGAGGGTGGACAAGCATTCCTTACCTTCGAAGATGTGCAAGGTATGTTATAATAACTTTATATGGCGAAGGCTAAGTATCATTTCATAAGTCATTCGTTTGGTCCGCAAAAAGAGGGGCACCAGCGATAACTAGGCTGAACTAAACCGTTGTTCTATATGCTACGTCAACAAGCTGCGCTTGATAATTAGAAGTTTTACATAAGAAATAGATATGGCTGCTCTGATAAAGTTTGTGTCCTGTGAGCAAAGGTCTTTCCAACTCCTCTGACTGCTAGGTACTAACAGTTCCTTGTTAGATACATTCAAGGGTAACAAAAGTAGGTATACCCGTTAGTAAATCAAATGAATATAACTTAACAGAAGTGGAAGTACCTTTACCTTGGCTTACTCGTCAAATTTTTGCTTTGATTGTATGATTAAATGTCGGCCTGTTTAAGTGAAACCATGTCAGACAGAAATAATCGACCAAACAAGTGAGACCAGATATATTTCAGATATTTTGGAATAGGTAATTTCGACACCTTGAAATCGAAACTAAAAGAAGGAAGTGAAGCAGACCTTGAACTATAGGAAGGTTCGCCAATCAGCACTCATCTGTTTCAAATGTTGTGCTCCTGCCTTTCTAAAATGGCCCGACTTCAACACTACTCTGACTAACAAGACTTCGTTTCAGACGTCGAATTTAACCCAGTCGAATAAAAACAGCTGTTACGGAAAGCAAAACTGAAACGCTGTGGCTATATGGCCGGTAACCGGTCAAGGATTTCAAAACACTGAATGACCCAAATGACCGGCAGTCCTCTCTTTTCAGTAAATTTCACAAATCGAAAAAATCCAGCTAAACCAAACTATCATTTGTCGATTAAGAAAAGTCAAGCGATCCTGAAATGCTTTATACCGATTTATAGATCAGTCAAGAACAGGGTTTGGTTCACCCTGAGCTCAGAAGACGAACCATGGTTTGTGACACTTAGAACTTTTTTCAGCTCGACTGCCGGTCAAGGTTTTCAAAACAGGTCGAAATGACAGCGGCAGTCCTATATTCTCAGTAAATTTCACAAAATCGAAAAATCCAAGCGACTCTAAATTATCATATGTCGATTAAGAAAAGTTCAGCGATCCTGAAATGCTTTATAGATCTCAAATACCGTAAAATTTCGAAAATAAGCCCCTCCAAATATAAGCCCCCCAAAATCGTAACGCAAAAAACATTCGTTAAATCGCCCCTCCGAATATAAGCCCCCCGGAGGGCTTGTACTTGGAATTTGCCCTCGAATACAAAGTAAAACAAAACAAACTTGGTAAATTTCCTTCCCACTACAAGCTACCATAATCGATTTTGAAATGCAAATTTCCCTCCGTGCATAAGCCCGTCCAAAAATAAGCCCCTCAAAAAGGGCTTTTGATGAGCCCCGGGGCTTATTTTCGGAATTTTATAAAAACAAATAAAACGACCATAAATCGGACGTGGGCCACACAGGAGAGACGTAACATGCATTTTAAGTGAGGTAAGCTGTTTTTATTGAAATCCTTTCATTTTCGTAGGTTACAGAAACGATAGGTTTTTTTCCCCATACAAATCCTTATATTTTGAATGTTATGCAACAATGCCGATGTTCGCCGATGCTCATATTTCAAGCTTGGGCTACCTGTAGGCTCAGAAGACAAAACCATCTTTTGTGACACTTAGCACTTTTTTCAGCTCGACTGGCGGTCAAGACCGGTCAAGGATTTCAAAACACTGAATGACCGGCAGTCCTATATTCTCCGCAAATTTCACAAATCGAAATAATCCAGCTAAACCAAACTATTATTTGTCGATAAAGAAAAGTCTAGCGAAATGTACTGTAATAGGACTGCCGGCCATTTAGTGTTTTCAACACCTTGACCGGCAGTCGAGCTGAAAAAAGTTCTATTAGTGTCACAAAACATGGTTTCGTTTTCTGAGCCCAGCGTAAACTAAACGCCAGGCTGACTTTTCTTTATCGACATATGATAGTTCAGATGAGCTAGATTTTCTCGATTTGTGAAATTTACTGAGAATATAGGACTGCCGGTCATTTAGTGTTTTGAAAACCTTGACAGGCAGTCGAGCTGAATTAAATTCTAAGTGTCACAAAACATGCATGGTTTCGTCTTCTGAGCCAAGCGTAAACCAAACGCTATACTTGAGATTTATAAAGCGTTTCAGGATCGCTTGACTTTTCTTAATCGACGTATTATAATTTAGATAAGCTGGGATTTTTCAATTTTGTGAAATTTAATGAGAATATGGGACTGCAGGTCCTTTAGTGTTTTGAAAACCTTGACCGGTTACCGGCCATATAGCCACAGCGAAACTGAAAAATATAGAACGGTTTAGTGAACTCAGATTCAGTAATGAATTGATCATGAGATCGGTACCTTGCCTTGCCTTGCAAAGCATGACTTGGTTTCACACATCGTGCTTCGCTACTGCCGTACTATAGTCGAATTAAATTCGATCAACTAAATTCGGCACAGCAGTAGCACGACGTCTATTGTTATCGACACAGTGAGTCAGACATACATGTATCAGGGGCACCCAATGACGAGAATATAGTTCAAAACCACTTAGACATAGCATTGTTAAGCGTACCGTATTTTAGTATTTAAACGGTAAATATAGGCATATTTTTATCCCCTAAAATTTTTTCATCTGTTTGGATTTCCTAGCTGAAAGTCTAGTGATCCAAAAATTATAGGGATCAAAACTTACGTTTTCGAAATTTTCGACCAGAAAAAAGGCCCCCGAAAATTCTAGGTGACCTTGTTAGGGTAAAAATCCGTAGAAGATGGGCAATTATACCATTTTTTTGATGTTCGAAAATCCTAGGAGAGGCAGGCAAGGAAGAGATTTTACAACAAATGTTCCGAAAATTCTAGATCTCAAATCGTCCTCCGAACAGATATTTTCTGAAAATTGACGTTGGGTGCCCCTGATGTATACGTGCTGTAGAGTAATAAACAGTCTACTCTGAAAGTGCTGATCATGTGCAACTGCCACGAAAAGGAGCGGCGGACCTGATCAAAAAATAATAATAATTTCATTTATTCTTCTTAAGTCTATAAATAATGGCAATGAGTGGAGTCCAATTCGGTTTGTAACTCATACCAAGTGATTGTTGCCAGCGAGCAGCCTTGCGTCTTGCGATGCGGCGGCCTAATAAAGCCGTGCGCGAAATTAATAAAAGTTCAAAGGCAGAATGGATCTCGAATCGATGTAACATAAGATACTGTAAGGTAACTTTTATGACGTAATGCAGAAGAGAGAATGAATTGTTTTCGAGCGAACAAATGATACAGAACAGAGAATCCTATAGCCGTGTTCCATGCTCATCCCGTCATCAACCAATCGTCGGGTGAATTCATTTGCATTATTTGCATCATACGCGCATAGCTGTCTCATTTGCCCGCCGGATTTTTTTATTGCCTGCCGCCAAGAAAAAATATTAACGCCGCAAACGTGTGTCGTTGAAGCAAAATTATTCGGAAGGCTTCTTCGGCGCACAACTGAATCTTTTTCTTTTCTTGAAAATTAGACCTCCTAAGTTGAATATTCGAGGACTTTAATATGATTTTTCGAGGATTCTAAGTTCGCTTCAAAGACCACTAAATTTTATCTAAAAAGACCTGTGTGGAAATAGGAACTTCACATACCTCGAAGCGTATACTATTCGCGACAGTCCCTTTGACGCTCGCTGAATAAGCGACGGAGAAATGGAATCGCACCAGGAAGTTGAATGTTAGATACGTCCTAAAGAACCCAGACACTTGCCAAAACTCAAAACCGGGTCCCAAAACTCAAAGAAGAGAAAACCCAGTTCTCCAACACTGAAACAAGTAGACTTCTCATACTTACTGACAGCTGGGAAAGGAGGTCTTTCAGGGAATAGCAAAAGGACTGCGTAGTAAAAAATCAATAGGCTGCCAGCCCTTGAGCGGTAACAAGCAAATAAACCGGAGATAAAGGTCCAAGGTAAAAAGGAAAACCTAAGCGCAGAGAAGACGCGAGAAAACCCACCCAAGGGATGGCAGCCTGAGCGTCAGTAATCCGACTAGGGTATTAGACATCCTTTCAGGCTACCATGGAAGGGCAGGAAGAAAAACATTTGAAATGACGGAAGAAAAGGCAAGGAACGAATAGCACTCGTTAAGTAAGAGAGTAGAAAAACATCTAGGAAAACAAGGGAGCAAATACACTGGGACAAGGGAGTAAACCCGCAGAACTGGAGGCCCTGAGACAAACCACGGGTATCAAATTACCGAAACATAATCATGATTCAAAATCTGGCAGGAGCCGAGGAAATAACACCATTGTAAACAGCTAGCGGTGTTATTCGTACTTTACCTAGCTATCTGCGGTTTGTGCAGTGCTCTTCCCTCAGCCTCCCGTTAGGTTTTAGTGCTTTCCCTTCGGCTCCCGTAGTTTGTTGCACGCTCTCGTTGTTAGTAATTTATGTTTTCCGTGCTTTGCCTAACGAACACCGGGTTTGTGCAGTGCTATTCCCTCGGCTCCCGTAAAGTTTGTTGCACGCGTTTGTTTTATTTGCTTTACTCAGGAATTTTTGTTTTGCGTGCTTTGCCTCACAAACACCGGGTTTGCGCAGTGCTTTCCCTTCTGCTCCCGCAGTTCGTTGGACGCTTTGGTGTTAGCAATTTATGTTTTGTGTGCTTTGCTTCACAAACACCGGATTTGTGCAGTGCTATTCACTCGGTTCCCGTAAAGTTTGTTGCACGCTTGTGTTTATAATTTTGCTTTATTCAGTAATTTTTTGTTTTGCGTGCTTTGCCTCGCAAACATTGGGTTTGTGCAGTGCTTTCCCTTCGGCTCCCGTAGTTTGTGGCACGCTGTTTTTGTTAGTAATTCATGTTTTGTGCTCTTTGCCTCACCATCATCGGGTTTGTGCAGTGCTTTTCCCTTCGGCTCCCCTCGAGTTTACACCCTTTTGTTTTTCTTTGTTTTATTGAGTTTTTTTCTTTTGTTATGCGTGTTTTACCCAACAAGCTCAGGTTTGTGCAGTGATTTTTTCCCCGGCTCCCTTCGAATTTGCACGCTTATTTTTTGCTTGTATTATTCAGTTTTTATTTTGTTTTCTGCGTTCTTTCCCTCGCTAACTTAATCTTCCTTCGATTCCCGTAAAGTTGGTTCATCACTTTTGTTGCATTTATGCTTTATTTGGTCAATCTGTTCGGCGTGTTTAATTTTACACTATTGGGTAAAACAAAGGCAAAACATAAACGTGTAAAAACCTTACGGGAGCCAAGGAAAGGGCAGTAAACAAACTGGGCGTAGAGCGCACTGGCGAGTGGGCCGTTTGAAGCAGAGCTAGAGCTTTTGTAACATTGGCTGGGGCGGGACCGGTTCGTCAGCCATCTTAATAAAACAAGAATCGGGTAACAGAGCGAATGGATTCTTGCGCGAACTGGGAGAAATGAGATGCGGAGCTCTTATTTATACTCGCGTTGCAAGGGACTGGCGCGAATAGCAATTAGCTATAATTAAAAGTACAAAATCCACAGTCGTCTGATTTGTTTTCAATCACGCGTATGATTACAGACAGAATTGGACGACAGTACGGTGTGAAAGATTTTCATATTTTTTGAAAAAGGCTCGTCTGTCTTGAAACCTCTTAACGGGACGTTCTAAGAGACTAAGAGAAATTGGTTCTCAAAAGAGAATTTCGAGGATTCAAAGCACTTAATTCTTCATCGTTTGCGTTAACTGAGAGTCTTCTATCAAAACTGCTTTTAAAAGGAAGACATTGAATTAAAAAATTATTGAGTCTGGTAATAAGTCGGTCCTTCAGCTACTGCCGAAGTCCTGTTTCAAGTCAAAGAAGGGGCGGGGGGTCTGCACAGCACTGCTTTAATATGACATTTGCATTTTTATTTTCGGTAGCTGCCTCAAGGGTTGTTGGAAAGCGAAAGCATCTCTTTAAGGGCCGATACCCTTTGATCGTATCACTTCTACCAGAGGAAGTTGAATCCAGTCCTGAAGATGAAAGGGAAGATACGCTGACAAACGATCAAGAGAAAGATTCACGTGACAGAGAGTCAAATGTGGGTAAACCTTAATGTTCGTCCAAAGCGCAATTTCTATAAAACCGGCCTGAAATCTAAAACAGCGTTTGAGAAGGAAAGATGTACAAAAACGAAGCATATAGTAGCCAGTATTCTTAAAAGCCATAATCGCATTCTGGTTTTAAATTAATTTTCCTAGACCTCGTTGTAGTCTGTGATAGAGCCTGATCGGTACTTACCCTATTACATCACTGAACACTCAATGTAACTACGCGACTTAACGTGTTTCACTAAAACAAAGCATGGTTGATCCAGAGTGTGTCACAAAACCTTTCTCAGTCTTGTTTTCTTTTACTCTCAGCAGTCCCCATATGGAAATAGCCAGTTGACCAACGAAAAGGAAGAAAAACAAAAAGTTGGTGAGGCTTGGCCAGTGCAAGAATTGACAACGCAACGTGAAGGATGTCCACCATCACAGTGCACAGTTAAAGTTGCAGGCCTATCGGAAGATATATCAGAAGATCTGTTGACAATGTACTTCGAGAGCACAAAACGATCCAAAGGAGGTCCAGTCCGTAGTATTGACATTGATCGCGATTTACGGGAATGCCTTATTACTTTTGACTCTCCTGAAGGTATGTCTAAAACCCTAATAAACAAAAGATGAAAAAGTGAAATGAAAAAATAAATCGAAGAATAAATGAAGAAATATGAAGAAATAAATCGAAGCAGACTTTATGCAATGCAACACTGACGATTTCTCCTTCTGACTGTGAAAATGTCTTATTTCAGATGCGGCGAGAACTAAAGACAATTCTCCCCACAAAGTGAATGGCCTATCACTTGAAGTTACTTTGTTCGCGGAAGAAGAGCAAAGCCTTGTTCTAAACGCTGAGCAACCAGAGTCTGATGACGAAACGAGTATTACGATTGTTGTAAGCGGAGATTTACCTTCGGAAGACGCCCTGCTGAACTACTTCGAGAATGCGAGGAGATCCGGGGGAGGCGAAGTTCTCAACATGGATTATAATGATGAGGGAGATGTTGCGATTACGTTTGCTGAAGTGAAAGGTAGGGGAAGAATGGATTGAGAAACTAAGTACCAGTTTTAAATGGTACGTTAAATATGCAGCGAAACCTCTCTCTAATCTCACAGGTAAGTTAAAGAGCTGCGACTACCATGTTTAATACCTCGGCTTAGTATTTAGCCTGCGTAGCTGGCGGTATTGTGTAGTAGTCGAGTGAGATTTGGCGGCGGAGCCGTTGTAATATAGTCGAGTGAGATTTGACGGCGGAGCCGCCACGAGCGGCGAAGCCGCCTCGTCCCTACTCCCTGTTTTTGGAACACGGCTCCGCCGCCAAAACTTTAATCTCGCACCCACACAATACCCGCCAGCTACGCAGGTTTCATTATAGTATTTAACCGTCTAATTATTTTCTGGTCCGGTTTGTTCAAAGTTTGCCGTTACTATTAGACATAAATCGGGTCAATAAATATAATATATAAAAATAATGGTACCCAAATCGCTTTGGCTCTTAAGATTACTCCCCCTCCCACTCTCATTCCCCCAGAATGAACAAATCTCACGGTGTTGAGATATGGATATGGACACTGCACTATGTATTTTCATGATTGCAGATTTAAAGCGGCTTCTTGAGGGTCCACACACCATTGATAAAAAACCTCTTAAAGTGATAAAGCAGCCTCCAAAGAAAAAAGTCCCACTGGACCCACTAAAAGTCCATGTTCAAGGACTTAACGAGAAGACTACGAAAGACTCGCTGTGCTTGTATTTAGAGAAGTTCAGCAAAGTAGACGTGACTGAGGTGTACATGGGCTGCAACAATAACGCAATGGCCGTTTTTGATGCTGAACCAGGTAATAATACCTATTCATATATTTTATTGTTGTTCTTCTGTGAACGATCAAAACTGTATTTATCCAAAAGAAAGTTAGCGCTTTTTCAGTGTCTTAATATTTGCTTGTGATTTTGTGTGTTTTGGCCCACTCGTGAAGTTGTACAATTTCTGCTGCAAAGTTTTAAGGGCATACCTTCTTTTGAAAGCACAGTGTTATCCTTGATCTATGCATGCAGTTTGAGAGTAGTTAATCGATTTTTTCATAAATTGAAGCTGTTTAGGCTGAATTTACTGTAAAAATTGTAAACAAATTCTTTATTAATAATTAACGAGCCACAAGAGCACATAAAAGGATACCCGGACTCACTGACATGATTTTCTGGGCAGCGACTTGGAATGGTTGCGTAAAGGGTTTTAGTAGGATACCCAAGATACTTGTAATTCCACTAATTCTACTGATTGCAAACTTTTTGGAGCCAGTTACAATCAGCTGGCACAGAAAAACTGACAGGACAAGTTTATTTCAAGTTTTCAAGTTTATTTACTATCAATATATTTACAACTTTTACAAACAATCCGACTGACCTGCAGGTAGCCTAACTAATCAAGGTAGGTCAGTCTCGCAAGTTCTAACTATTACAGATTTCCGCAAAAAAGAGTTTGAAAAAAAGTCATTAACAAGGTAACAGTTTTGCAAAACAGAGAGAGAAACATATATTAATTATTATTATTCTTTCAAAATATTTCCCCTATTCTTATTGGCTAAAAGCACACGTTTAATTCACCATAACCAGTTCCTGATGACCAAATTTGGAAGAAATTTGACTTTAACGAGGAAATGACGTCAAAAATGCAGCGTTTTCGCAGGTTGAGGCACCGTTAACCGAGAAGACCTGGGGACGAGGTTGAGTTGTTTTGGTTGTGAACTTGAAAAAATGGCGGACATTTCACTCGTTTCAAGAGTAAGAACTAGGCGAAAAAATAGCTAAAAACATGGCAAGAACAGCAAGAAGACAACTCGAAGGGCGACACCTGCTACTTGGAGAATATTTGCGGAGCTGGACAAACCTAAACGTACACTATCGAAGATGAACTGAACATCGATGGATCGATAGAGGTAAGAATGTTTCAGCTATGTTTTTAAACTAGGAATTATTTTGAATGAATAATAAAACAGTTATTGAATTCGGCTTTCGTATCATATGAAGAATTATGGAGATCTCGTAGGGTATTATCCGCCTCGGCCTATGGCCTCGACGGATAACACCGTCCTCGATCTCTATAATTCTTCATAAGATACTCCGCCTCATTCATTAACTGTTAAATATGGTGGCACATTAAATCAAAAAAGGAATACTTAAGGCCACAAAAAAAATAAAATAATTATCTGATGAATTATGATAAAAATCAACTTTATCCCTTACTACTGGCGACGTGTGAACTTGCACACGATGAGATTTGGCTTATTTGAAGCTTTCCTTACGGGGACACGGTGAGCTGTGTCAATATCCAAAATGGAAACTTCGTTGATTCCTAATGCCGAGAATAGTCGAAGGCAGAGGTTGGCTGCTCACGCGCCCCATGACCGGCGTGCCAACAATTTTGAGGCTGTGGTCCTCGAACGATTCGATGGCAGCGGCGATTTTGTTGCCATTTTGAGAAACCTTGTCCACTCTTAATTTTACTGAATTCTTGTTGCTCTTTTACCAGCGCGTCATACTGGTCACTAATAAAATTATACTGACTTCTTTTTGTCACACGACAAATCCGCGTCGTTTGTACTTGCAACTTCTTCGCCAGCTCCATGCCTGTTTTCTTTACCTTCAAGTTGAGTCCGTCAGTTTTTGTATTTTTACATTTAGTTCGCTAAGTTCATTTCTTAAGGATTGGTTTTTTTGTCTTAGCTGTTTAGTTTTCTCTCTGGTCATTGCGTCACAATCTAGAAAATCTTAAAATTCAACAGTTCGCGGAGAGTTTATGAACGTGACTGCTCAGCTCAAGCGTACGCATACGTTTCTCTCGGAAAAAACGTTATAAATAACTTATGTCACTTGTGGACATATTTTTCTACTGCTCTACTGTTACTCGACAAATATTATGTCCTGTTTCTGTTTCAGACTTCGTTGTTCTTTTTGAAAAAGTCACCAAAGACAGAAGAGGTCTGGAGGGGAAGCATGTTCGATTGGACCGCGTGCCCGTATGTTCTTGCATTCATGTCAAAGGACTTAGAAAGGAAACATCAGATGAAACCATAGCTCTTTACTTTGAAAACATGAGAAGGAGTGGAGGGGGGCCTGTCAGCCTTGTGGAAAGATTAGAAAAAGACCAAGTCTTGGTGTATTTTGAGAATCCATCCAGTGAGTAGAACTAACTAGAAAATTAGAACTGACTGAAAAAATTGTGGAAGCTGTTTTTAGATGACGGCGGGAATTTTTTTTACCGGAGGAGGACGAACGCGGGCCACCGTGTGGATAGGAGAAAGACTTTGTCCCATCTCATCTTCCTTCTCCTCCTCGATCCTCTTTTGAGAAATGTTCTCTGTACATTGCACGATGAGTGGAAGGAAAAATGGATATTCTCTCGGGAAAACATTAAATTTCGATGAAGAAAAGTGAGGCATGCTGAGTCTTTTTCGAAGTGTACAGGTCCGACTATAATTTTGCACTGAGCATGAACACTGTGACAGCTTAAACTGGAAGAAGTATAAAGCTAAGTTTTTTACGATCGTATTTAATGTTGTCACTTCTTTAATAGTTTTTTTTCTTTTTGGATTCAGGCCTCGAGACCGTTATCAAAAGAAGCCATGTCCTTGAACGACAACAGTTGGACGTAAAACCCTACTATCCTTTTCTGGAGAATTCATCAACAAACAAAACCGATATTGCCTTTGAAGCAGAAGTATATGATTATGTCAACAAGTACCACCAACGAGAATTACAAGCACTGCTTGAAGAACAGAAGGTACTGATTGAATTTTCAGATGACTCTCAAAGATCTACCATCACGATTTTTCCATCAGAGAAGAAGAAGAAAGAATCTCTTCAATCGTGGCAGAAACGGGTGAGTGGCCTGGAAACATTTTTAAACCGTTTCAAGAAAGTAGAAGTCCCCATCGGAGCTGAACTGTTTGATGAAATTGTTCGACGATGGAAGAAGCAAAATGAAGTGAATCTAACACAAGGAGGGTCTTCTCACATTGGAGTATCTTTCAATAAACAAAGCCGATGTGTGCAGATTATTGGAAGGGAAAAGTACGTGGCTGAAGAAGAGATTAAATTCAAACAGTCAATCGACGCCGCTCACAAAGATACAGAGCTTATGAAGTCAATAGTAGAGGTAGAAATGACAGATATTCCGGAGTCACGCCTGGCCTTGTTGAAAATGTGCGATATTGGCGGAAGACTTCAAAACAAACATCAACATTTAACCATATCTATTGATCTGAAAGGCAACAAAGTGCATTTAAAGGGGCCTAGAAGCGTGCTTCAGGACGTTCAGTTGGAAATCTATAGGTTTAGTTCGAATGTGACGGAAGAAAGCCTCGAACTTCCCGCGAACGTTATAGCCGTTTTAAAGAACCCCCAAGTCTCGGACTTCATAACGGGCCTATTAAAAGAAAAGGAGATCCAAGCACTCTTTATTTACGATCACAACAAAAGCTCAAACGAGGTTCTTGTGGTAGGTGCCGGCTCTACCAGTGTCAGAGATGCTGGGAAAATGCTACAGGATGTAATCCAGGAACGTAGTCTCCAGCTGACTGATGAAAATACGATAGTTCTCGAAAGTCATCAGTGGAAAGCTTTCCTGTCAAACCTGACCTCCACGAAAAAGGTTGGAATTTTCGCAGAGCGCTATTCCAGTACTCTATGGGTATGTGGAATCGCAGAAGACGTACAGCTTTGCTTTGATCGTGTTAAACAGTTCCTTGACGAGAACACCATTTTACATGACACCTTTCTTATTAACCAAGGAAAAGCACGCTTTATTTTCGAAAAGTGGGGATTTAAGCTTGACAAAATCAAGAAAGACCTTGCTACTTGTTGCGTTGATTTAAGAGCTGCCCCTGACTGTGAGGGGATTGAAGTTTCTGGGACGGAAGAGGGACTAGAACAATGCGTTGCAAAGCTCAAAGAAATTGAAAAGGCCGTTCAGAAAGATTCTATCTCCATTGACAAACCAGGAATGAAGAAATTTATTTTGGAAGAAAAAGGCTCCAAATCACTGCGAGCAATAGAAAAAAGCAGTAACTGTCTTATTCTTACTTCAGAAAGAAACGAGCACGAATTGTCATTTACGGATATAGAGAATACGAGAAACAGCGATTATGAAATGTCCAGTGCAGAATTCATGTGCAGCTATCTGACGATAGAGGGAAAAAAGGTTTCTGTTTTCAAAGGAGACATAACGAAGCAACGTGTGGATGCCATAGTCAATGCAGCCAACAGTCAGTTACAGCACGTGGGAGGTCTTGCTCGTGCCATTGTAAAAGCGGGTGGTCAAGAGATTCAAAGTCAATGCAACGAATATATTCAAGACAAAGGCGATCTTTTAGAGGGACAGACAATGATAACTAGCGCTGGAACACTACCGTGTGATAAAGTCATACACACGGTTGGAACAAGGTGGGACTCTTGGGAAAGCCAAGAAAAAAAAGAAAAGAAAAAAAGGTTGTTGAGGTACGCCATTACAAATTGTCTTAAGACGGCCAAAACTTCTCGTTCAATCGCCATTCCAGCAGTCAGTTCTGGTGTGTACAGCATGCCTCTTGACGTCTGTTCCGAAGTTATCTTGGATGCTGTCTTTGACTTTTGTGCAACAAACCCCTCCTGCCAACTAACAGAGATTCATCTTGTTAACGATAATGAGGCAACAGTAAAGGCCTTCGTGCAAGAAATGAGAAAGCGATTTTCAGGAAAAACCACGTTCGTCGACAATGAGAAGCCTAGTAAGGATTTAAGTTCCCGTATAAAGAGTAGCAGCAGTGGAACTAAAGGAAAGCCGAAGAAGAAATCTTTTTTTCAAACCACGCGATGCATTAACATAGCAGTAAAAGTTGGTGACCTCGCCAAGGAAAAGGTACAGAGAAATTTAATCAACAATTTTAATGACTACAGATAATTCCAGGTCATTACTGCGTACTTGAGGTACAGTCGACAGCTTCAGGGCTCCAATTTTTTACATCTTGAAAGTAGAGTTTTACAAGTTGAAATGCAATTTGTTGTTCTATTTAATCGAATTTTTAGTTTACACTGTCCGACGTCAGTAAGTAGATTCAACTGCCTGAGTTTAAAGGGAATTCAATATAGCTCTTCATATTTTAGCGCTTTGGGGGAAGGATGACTCTTTTTAAGACTGAATTTATGAAAGAATCTTGGTAAAACATTTTACGCATAGTAACAAGAATTTATTAACAAAAAATAGTTCATCAATCACCACCTAATGTGATACATTAGTTTCTAAGGCAACGACGATGTATGTGTTTTCTTTTATAGGCTGACATTTTAGTCGGAACAGCAGGTCAGGATCTGAATTTAAGCAACAATCCATGTGCTCGAGCCCTGAGTGAAGCTGCTGGTCAGTGCCTTCAGCAACAGTGTACCAATAACGGTCCGGTTTCTGAGGGTGACATCGCCTTGTTAAGTCAAACGGGAAATCTGAATTGCCGAGCTGTTATATTTGCCGTTTGCTCTCACTGGAATGATGGAAGAGGGAAAGAGGTATCATCATTAACAATAAGCGTTACTATTCTGTTGATTGTTGCTGTATTCACATAAATGGCAATGAAAGAGAACGAGTTACTATAGATACATTAGTTGCTGGACAACTCTCTCCAACCCGTGCCTTTAATTTTTAAGCGGGACTTGAAAAAGCTCTCAAGAGAGAAATTTTGTAGTTCGTAAAATTTTCATTTCATTTCATCTTTTTAGTCGTTAACCTTTGGAGAGATTTTAGTCTGATTGTATTTTTTCAGTCGCCTAGCCTTTTTAGCCTTTTAACTTTATAACCTTTAGCTTTTTAGATTTGATTGTTATTAGTAGTTTTAATAATTTTTAATCTTAGTCAGAGGACCTCCCTGAAAACCACTTAATGTGTCGGGAGCTTCCTCTATAATGATTATTTTATCATATTATTATTATTACCATTAGTTTTAATATCTTGATTCGTAAACGTATCTATGGAAGCCTAAATATCGTTTTCGTATTCTCTCTAAATAGGCCATTTAAGATTTCCTGGGTAGTTTGTTTGCTCATGATTCAGATTACACATACGGCATTATATGTTAGAGCATGCAGATTATATTTATTTTTATCAGTAAATAAGAGGAACCAATTCCTTTGAGAACTTATGAAGTCATCATTCGTCGGGTTTTAAAAAAAACATCCCAAGCTAATAGGTCTATTCAGCTCTCAGTTATGAAATGCGTTTCCAGCTGTTTCTTTTATGATGGTCTTGTCTTAATTGCCCCCATATTTTCATGTGACATAAGCGGTACATTTCCATCTAAGTGTGTGAAATTGTTTCCTGCTTCAGTCACTTAGGACCATCATTAAGAAGTGTTTACAGGAAGCAGACAAGAAGAAAATGACGTCCATAGCGTTTGCCGCCATTGGAACAGGCGTCCTTCAGTTTCCTAGAGACCAAGTAGCCGACCTATATTTTGATGAGGTGGTTTCGTACGACCAAAAGAACCCCAAAACCTCATTGAGGGACGTCAGGTTTGTGTTGTTCCATAAAGATGCGCCAACTATCCAGGCCTTCAAAACGGCGGAATTAACAAGACAAGCCATCGGTCTAAGTTCAGCTGAGGAAAGTGCTGCTTCAAAACCCAGAAAAGGAAGAGTGGTTACTTCGTTGTCAGCAAGTTCGTTGACGTTCTCCCCAATGAATGAACGGAGACCAGATCAATTAGAAACAACTGTTGGACCCTTGTGCTTTCAAGTGCAGGCTGGCGACATCACCAAAGAGACCACGGAGGCAATAGCTGTTATTTCTAACTGTGATTTAGACATAGCTGCCAGTGGAACAGGCGCTGCAATTTTGCGTGCAGGAGGAAATGCTATAACGAAGGAGTGCTCAAGGCATGGCCGTCAGACCCCAGGCTCAGTTGTTGTTACAAAAGCCGGTAAACTAAAGGCAAGATACCTTTACCATATCATCCCAGCTGACCAAACCCCTGACGGGATGAAACAGTCCGTGTTGCAATGTCTTCAAGAAGCTGAGAATAATAGCATTTCGTCGATTTCATTCCCAGCTATTGGCACTGGCAACATTGGGATGTCTGCAAAAGCTTCTACCCATGCAGTGTTGTCCGCTATCCAGGAACTGAGCAAACAAAAACCAACGTCGTTGAAACTCATCAAGATGACAGTATTCCAAGAGAGCATGCTTAAGGATATTCGATCGGCCATGGAGGAGGCATCTGGTGTGAAACCATCCCAGGAGCCTGCTAAATGGCGACAAGCTTTAAAATCGGTGGCTAATTTTGTTTTTGGAGGTAGCGACGACGACACTACCTTGACAGTACGTCCCCAGGAACTGGATAACAGAGAGATATACTTAGAAGTTGTTGCTGGCTGTAAAGAGGATGTTCAAGAAGCATCGAAAGCAATCAATGAGCTTATGAAAGAAAAATGCAAACAAAAGGTGATCGACAACGAAGAAATTTCAAATTTAACACCGGGACATTTGCGCAAACTTCACACTTTGGAGCTTCGATACAGTGTACAGTTAACCGTGGAGAAGGAGGTGGAACGAATTGTGATAGATGGCCAATATGAAGATGTTCTCCAGGTATTTGGAGAAATCTTGGAACTTCTTCACGAAGTTGAAAAAGACAAACACGAACGAAACCACGCTGAAATGTTGTCGAAAGACATACAGTGGAAATATGAAGAAGATGGGACATTTGAGGACTATGATGGAAACCTGAATGCTCAAATTGAACTGGCTTTTCAAAAGGATAAGTCAAAAATTGAAATTCAGATGGATGAAGAAAACTACACAGTCAAATTTGATACAATGACAATGGAAGACGAAGGAGGCATTGCCACTGGTGTTAAAAGAATTGACCTTCGCAAAGGTACAATGACTGCATGCGCACTATCAGTGAGTTTAAATAACGCTTCCGTTTCCTTTTGTCAAAGTTCTTGACGTCTTTGTGATATGTTTTCTTGCTCGTTTTGTATATCACCTTCATGGATTCCATCCCCGTTGGTTCTGAGACGGGTTATGCAGCATAGATGACTTTTAGAGACACCGTTTAGATGAAATGCTCGTCTTTAAAATATCACACGTTTTGACTGGTTCCGCTTTTAACAAACCCATCAAAGTTGTCAAACATTTGTTAAAAACATGTCAGAAAGGCGTCTAACTCAGTGAGACAGTTTGTAACTAGTAATAAACAAAGGTGAGGGAATGCGTGGCGAGACTGGTGCCAAAGCTCTTGCTCCAACGTTGTGCTTTGCGTACATTTCGTAACAGAAGCGTGATCAGATCACGAATGAGAAAAGTTCTAAACGTGACCAGATTGCTTTCTATGTATTCCATTCACTTTTAGTGGACGTCCAAACGAATGCTGGTCACATAAGTACCAATCATGTGTAATAGCAACTTGAAGGCATAATAGGGAAGCAGACTCCGGCAATAACGTAATGAGTTTATCATTTTTTCTCTAGATGTCGAGTTTCCACCTTATTGGACAACCCAGCCAACCGATTCCAGCGGGCGAGAAGAAACTGTGCATCTTGTTCAGCTGGATTCTGTTGTGAACGCTGAAGAATACAAGAAAGTTAGCGATCAGTTCCACAAAACCTGCCCCAACAACATCTTAAAGATAGAGCGTGTGCAAAATCCGGCACTTTATGGTGCATATATAGTGTACAAGCAGACGATGGACAAAACAGGAGGTCGAGGAAGCAACGAAATGAATCTGTTCCATGGCACCAAAGGCCAGAAGTGCCAGCTAATAAACCACAAGGGTTTCAACAGAAGTTTTTGTGGAGAAAACGGTAAGTCTAATTAATTAAAATTATATGGATGTTAAGATTGTTTTTTTCTCTCTCTCCCTCTCTTCTAATCAGCCGAATACTTCTCCTCGTCATCAGCATTATACTTTTGTACGCCTAATACCGGTCTTAAGGTAACAGAAAATATTGAAAAAAATCCAAAAAGAGAAATCCGAAAACCCAGGGTTGCCTTTTGTCCAAATCTGTAGCTTTTTCAAGGAATCGCGAAACTAATACCCTCATCCCAATACATTTCCTATTGATTTTTCTCGTTTATGAATTCGAACAAATACAAAAAGGAAAAAACCTTTTTGGGGTTGGCTTCAAAGTTCCATCCATCTTCCCCTTGTACCCGCACATGCATCTTAGATTATATTATAGCTGACCTAAATCTAATTATCAAATGAAATATGAAATTAATCTGAGCTTTACCAATCCATCAATCCGTCCGTTCGTAACTAAGTAACTTTTGGATTATTTTCTTTGAATTCCTAACTCTCTCAGCTGCTTGTTATGGAAATGGTGTGTACTTTGCCTTGAATGCCTCCTACTCAGCAAGATCTACCTACTCCCCGCCAGACACTAATGGGTTAAGATACATGTACCTGGTAAAGGTCTTAGTTGGAGAGTACACAGTGGGAAGACAAGGTATCCTGACTCCCCCAGTAAAGAATGCTAATAACGTAACCGACACTTACGATACCGTTGTTGACAACGCCGCTAATCCTGGGATCTTTGTAGTTTTCTACGACTGGCAGTGTTATCCGGAATACTTAATCACTTTCCAGTGAGACTGGTCGACGAAAGTGTCCACTGGAACAGTTACGAAATGCAACTGAAATATATCCGAGTAGTTAGTACAGAGGTAAATTATTTCTTATCGCTTTAAATTTCTAAATTGCTTACAACCTGTAGGATTGGAGCGTTTGAAAATCTGCGAGTATCGTGTTCTGCGTAAGGTCAGTCCTTCTGCAGGGACCACAAGCACCGTATGTTACCACCATTAAGACATGTCTTATGTAATTTAATAACGTCTTTATTTAAAGTCCTGCCTAGATTAGCATTATAGCTATTTGCAGGACATAAAGTATTGTAACTTTATATTTGTTTAACTAAATACATTGTTGCTGTTAGACAACTATGTCATTAGGAACCTCCACTCAGTGATGCATCAAAGTAAAAAGGGCTATGTGGTCGAGTCAAGTGAACTGCAACGAACATTTAACTGGAGCTTAACTGCCAAGTATTCGTTTCACCAAGGGCAGGCTATTTTCATGGCAGCCCTGCATGTATATTTTCAGCTAGATTTTCCCCTTACGACAGCAAGGAGGTCAAACCTTGTTCTTGGCACTAAAAACAATAGCAGGTGTGTTTGCAAAGGTTATTAAAAATAGAAAGGAGAAGTGTGACGTCATCACACCATGGTGACAAAATTACTGGATCTCAACAATCTTTTTTGACAGAGATGGCTGTTCGCATTGTCGATCGATGGAAGAAAAGTATGGCTACTCTTTTTTTTCCTGAGTGCAATCATGCATAGGAAAGTCATACATCTCAATATTTTCGTTTTTTAGCCATGTTTGCAGGAGCACAATTTGTTGAGATCCAGCAGTAGTCATGGATCCAGAAATTTTGCTACCATGGCAACGCGAGACAACTTCTCATCTCTGCATCTCGATAGAGGTTTCTTTCTCCAGGGAGAAAGTAACTGTAAAAACACGAATCGAGCGGTCAGTGGCCACTAATCAAGATGGTCACGTTTTTTTGTCCGCTAAGAACAAAATCTAAAAGAGGGGGGGGGAAGGAAGGAGATGAATTTGAAAACTACGTAAGAAGTACTCTGTAGAGTTGTTTTATGAGCACTAAATCATTATAAAGGTCATAGTTTTTCTCTAACCTTACGCTCTGAGCAGCATACTTATCATACACGTAGTTCCTGTAGTTATTGAATCTTCCCGTACAAACCATTTTCTCCAGGTACAAGTGCTAAATATTTTTGGAACAATATTTCTTCGTCCATCCACCCCAGGAAAAAAACATCAAAAACCGCTGGGAAAAAATTATCTTACAGTTTTTATCCGTTTGATCTGAAACTTTGCAGGATGGTACAGATTTCCATTGCGCATGTTTTCCTTGTTTTGCTTTTTTGATTTTAACGGTTTTTGGCGGGAAAATGAGGACAAAAAGTTGACAGTAAATTTTTGTGCAAAGTGTGCTGCACGTGAAAAAATTGTTTTAATTTTTTTTGTTAATTAGACCTACTGACTTTTTTGCCGTTATCGTTACCGTCGCCTTTTAGCATTACACCATTTTATTTTTTGTTTGAGTAAACTACAAGCAACGGGAGCTTTGCTTTTTGCCCTGGCTAAATCTGTGCTTGACGGGTGGGTCTCGCTTTAAGGGGTAAAAACGACTAAATGGAAAAAAAAACTATATTCTTTCAGCTATATTTAGAAAAGTTTGTGATTTGTTTTATCATCTTTTGTAGTTCCTCTCCTAAGGCCTTGGCCAAACGTCGAATTTTTTATGAGACGAACCAAACTCTAATTTGGGTCGACATATATTAACTTACGATGGTTTGTTGGGTCAGACGTCGAACTTAGGACGCTTCGAACCGAATCAACTGAATCAGCCCAAGAAGTAATTTTTAAAAGGAATAATATCCTGAACGAAGCTAAATAAACAATATCATACATATTTTTAATTTATCAGTTTAGTTTGTCGCCTGTGAAGATCGACGAGTGTCCCAGAGACGATCTTCAGACGTTCTATCCGTCTAAAGTAGATGGGTGGGGATAGAATCAATGTGTTGGACGATCGCAACTCATTCAGACGAACATAACTGAACCAGACGTCGAACTTTTTCATTAACTTAACTCACTAAGTTTGGTTCGTCTGATGAACAGTTCTGACCTTTGGTCTAGGCCTAAGTGACGAATAGCTTTACCAATTACTCGTTCTGATGGTAACAAATATTCAGGTTAAAAATAGATTTATGCAAGTAGCCATATCTAAACATTTTTGCCTTAATTTTTCGTGTGAAATAATTAAGAGGTAGAATTGATCCGCAGGTAAAAATACAAACATTAGGATACCTATTACGCAATAGTTCTAATACACTTAACGCAGCAGCTAATTGCTGAGTTTTACTAGCACTTTGATGCTTAGGGGCACTTGTACTGCTACTTTCGGTGGAGGGCACTGTTGTTCTAAAGAATGGTTAAGGAGAATTATTTATAAACAATTATTAATAAGTCACTGCAAGAGCCATATGGCTCTTGGTCAGTGAGTAAGGCTGAGGGATCGCCAAAAAAACGTGGATCAAAAAGGGAAGATTAGAAGTGTTTGGCCTAAGCCTTCATAGCCTGCGTGGCAGGCGTTTGAAAGGGATGTCCCTAGACTTTGAAGATGGTAGAATAAATGTAAAAGTATAAAAAATTTGATTTACCATCATGAGTGCAAAATGGTTCATCAATAGAGCAAGATATGAGGGTAAGATCTCTGCAGACTTCCTAGATCCTAGGGTTTTGCAAACCCTAACGTTTATCTAATCGGAGGAATGACCCACTAAATCTGTGTTTGTAGAAAGCCTTTTTTAAAAGATTTTCTTTTTGACAAAGTTTGATTTTTGTCTTGCCCCTCATTCTAAATTGATTTGACTTTACGTGAAAAACTTAATATTCAAACTGTTGAAATAACGGATAAAGTTTCAAAATATATTCTTTGTTAAGATGGGGAGTCTAATAATATAAAAACTGTTCCAATACAGAATACTTTGATTTTTTCCCACAAACTTTAGAATTTCCTACCGTCTTGCCCTGATGACCCATCATGTACCCAAAAGCATGGACCTCTATTTACAATACATGTGTATGGTTATTAGTCCAAAACAACATGGCTGTAATGGGCTTCCAGAGTTATCGTAAAGGATACCATCCGGAAGCTGGCCCAGAACAGACAGGGGTGGAGCACCTCCGTTGCTGCCCTTCATGCCAGCGGGCACAGCGGGCAGTAAGTAAATAAGTAGTACAGTGCCAATTCAATATCGTAGCTTCAAAGCTTTGCTGCCAGTATACTAGTTTTTTTTTGTATTAAACCATTATTCGCTGACTGTGTTCGTTTGTTTGTGTTTGCAAAGAACAGTATGTTTCGGAGGTTTGATCTGCAGTATCGCACCATGCGCTACTTAATCTACCCCCACACTCTCGCAATCCAACTTCTAACAGCGAGAGTGTTTTCGTTAGACCACGAGCAGTCACTTATTTTTCTTTTGAGACTGTAAATGGAGAACAAGGGGCGAGTGGCGAAGCCTCAAGGAACGGGCTTTGAGACGTCTGCTCTCCGTTTTAATACGGAAATCTGTCTCTAGAATGTATACGAAAGGGGTACCTTTACTGTCGGCAAAATGGTATATAAAAGAGCAAAAGGGTAATGAAGCCACAAATGTAATAGAACGTGTCAAATGCTATCAAGGCGATACACAACTTGATAACATTTAAAAGGTTTTTTACATTTGTGGCTTAAAACAAATGTTAGGGTTGGACCTCGGGGCGTAGCCTACCACGTATATAACTCTGTTGAGTGCTCCCACCTCCGAGGATCTCCCAACGTCAATGTGTGTCCCACAGTTTCTTTCAAACTCTCTCTTATCATGATAAAAGTGAAGTGAAGGTTTATCCTCGTATGCTGATGTCATTTATTTTTGGAACGAGCGGCAAAAGTTGTTCAGCAACATCTTGACGAGTAGTAGTGAGTGATCATGATGGACTAATTTTATTAACATGCCCAGAATCACTAGCTGATAGCACTTGTTGGTTACACAGAAAATCTATAAGGGCTAAAAATTATATAAATTATATATTTACACATCAAATTCTAAAACACTTCATGGCAGAAGAGGAGCATTAATCAAAAACCTAGTAGTAAATCAAAATATTGTAACAGGAGTAAATTTTGTTGAATGCCTTAATATGTAATATACATTTAATTATTACAAAGAGTGGAATTTCTACAACTATCCAAAACCAGAGCATTCATTTTGTCTATAAGACCCAAAATGTATTAGTCGTAAGGTCGCGTCACGACAACTTAATAGAATGCAGAACGCTCAAGTACAACAAGTAATTTGGCTTACAGGATCACACTTACAAATTTTACCTTTAATTTTGAATTTTTGTCCAACATCTTCATCTACCACCTCAAAACGTAAATGTGTACGGTGTATTGCAAAAATAAAGTCCTACTGCTCCTAAGTTAAAAGTGTAACAAGATATATTACAAACCAGCGATAGTTAAGTCCTCCATATGAGACATAGGCCTCTGACTCAAGAACAACGCGTGAAAATTAACATCCTACCTCATCCAACAGGAGGAATCATTACTTTTAGTTAGTGCTATGTAAAAGGGCCAAGTAATCTCTAGAATTTAGGAATATTTACCATTAAGTAGTTGCCAACATCGCCTTATCACCGAACCACAGGCAAAGCACCTTACAGTTTCGCATTTGTGTTTTTGAACATTCGGGTCGTCTTTGTTTTGTCTGCAAGGGAGCTTCTCCCTCGTACGCTGTGAGCAAGCTCTCCAAGAGCAAGACGCACGCGAGAGGAGATGCGAAAACGGTGGGCGGAGAGCTTGCTTGCAGGCTATCGCTCTTGTGGATATACATATGGACTTTGAATACAGTCTATTTTTTATGTCAGTCAAAATGCAAGGTCGTACAAGACAATGTGCATAACCATTGTTAGAAACCGAATGACAACTCATATTCTACTTTCCTTTGACGTTTTTAAAAATATCCTTGAGAAAAAAATAAAAGCTAGTCATCAACAGCTCCTAATGCTCTCCAATGGCTCCTCCTTGTTGCAGTCAGCGGATTCCGTTAACGTTAGCAGCCAATTCTCCTTCAATCTGAGTCAAGACAACCAAACCTTTAAAGAAATAAAATGAACATTTATACAATATCGATGCCGGACGATAATGTCATGAAAAAATCTAAGATTAAAGAGTGCGCTTTCACGATTCGAATGTATTTTTTGTTTTGTTTTGTTTTGTTTTCATTTTTAACGAAATTGAGAATAAGTTACAGAAAGAAAGCCGGGTTTGACATTGGAATATTTGCTTACCCTGTCTAATGCAGCTAGACCTATAAATATAAAGCAAGAGATTCATTCGCTCTTGTATAAAGTGATAGAAACAATTTCCATACTCATAAATTCACTTTATCACAAATATCTTTTATCTTTTTAACGATATATATTCGAGAAACAAACTACTCTCTATACTATATTTTGTCACTAACATTGTTTCATGAGTGTGTGCGGATATAGGTGACCGCATGACTTTGGTCACTGATTTTCGGAAAAAGCCTTTCTCTACAAAAGTTAGAGTTAATACCTTTAACGTGAATAATATTTTGCTTTATCGGACTTGATAACGTTAACCAATTATACACATTATTGCCGTAGCTTTTGTCTTACCTTTCTTTCGCCCTGCTCACTTCTTTAAATTTCTTTTTTTCCTTCTTCTTACGCTGGCTCGAGCCCACTTTAATAGTCTTAAAATAACTACGTACAGCCTCCCTCGGTATGTTATCATTGGATTTTGTATCAATGTCTCTGAGATCCATATCGTGTGTCCTAGCAAAGACTTCACCTTTCGGGTCTATCTGAAACATCCCAGCGGTGAAATCAAGGTTTTCTACAACGATAAAGCATATGAATTTGTTACAATTACGGAGAGAAGACGGTGGTAACTTTCAACCACAATAGAAGACTTAAGATTGAATTTTTCTGTAGTACTAAAAACCATATCACAGACCTTAAACGAAACATAATATGACAATCCTTTGTTAAAATACGGAGTTGAGCCCAGCCCTGTTTTTTTTAGTTGAAACATAAATGTTCATCTGTAGGCAAATTTTTGAAAAACGATCAGGATATTTGCACAGTCAATAGTTCAACGAGTGAGGGTTCGTCGAAGTGAATTTAGAAATGTAAATTGCTTTAGGTAAATATCATTGACCAGAGATTGTGTGTGACAAAGCTATCTGGAACAGAATGAATAACGTTTTTTGTCATTTCCCCTTAATATAACAATTTTAATGGTATTTTTCCACGTTTTAGTGGAATAACCTTGATTTTGAAGTAAAGAACTTAACCTTGCGTCCTGATCTCTGGTTGATTTTTCACATCTAAAGTAAATGGACTGCCCATGATCGGACTCCCTGCTACTTCGACTGACACAGTAAACTGTCCAGGAGCTATGGGGGCGTACGAGACTGAATAGCGGCCGTCCTTTAAGTCTGTCACAATTGCCTCCAGTCTCTCATGCCCTGACAATGAAATGATTTTGGCACTGACTTCATCTATCGCACAGTAAGTTGTTTGACCTTGTGCATTCTTTGTAGTAACCGTAAAAGTGCCATCCTCGCCTACAAACCCCTTTGTGAGATTCTTGCCTTCTGCAACTGATAATAAAGGCTCAGTGTCGCTTGTGACTAACTTTCCCGGTGCATCTTTTAGAAAGACATCATTTTGAATATACTTCACCTCCGAGTAACCCAGTTTTTGCATAGCTTCCGAAGGTTGCAAGGTAACAGAGAGTTCTCTAAGCTTCCCTTCAAGTACTGCTTTGACGTTTAAAATTTCCGGTAAGTTATTTCGAGAAAGAATCTCCTCTGAAAAGGCTAAGGTGCTGTCTATTTCCAGCAGTTTCCCGTCTAACATGGTCATTTGATTGTCAAATGCATATTTAAAGGCTTTTTCCAGTTTGATTAATCGTTCGGTCATACTTGTTTCGTGCTGGCGTATTAATGATATGCAGAGTTCAGCGACTCGCTTCACTTCTTTTGTCGCTTCTTCGATACTGCCGTTTACTTTCGTTCTTCTTTTCTCCAGAGAGACTTTGTAACTTCTCAAACGAGACCCGTTTTCCTGAGCTTCGTGAACTCTGATGCCAATTTCAGACTTAATGTTTTCAAGTCCCTGGTCAAGCGAAATCTTGTTGTGATCTTGATGTTCCAAAATGGCGCAGTCACGGCAAATACACCTTTTGCAATTTTCGCAGTAAAACCTCATTTCATCTATATGTACTGTACAATAGTTTGCCCTACGAGCATAATCTTGCACATCGCAGGACTGGAAATTTCTGACATCTTTTACATGGTGGCCACTGAAAATTTTCCCTTTCTTGTGGATGCCGACGCATTCATCACACATAAAGCCGTTGCATTCAAAGCAGTAATATTTCAAAGCTTTCTTTTCGTCGCAGGATCCACAATGAGACGAATCTTCTTCCCCTTGGCCGCTGTAAGCCTCTACTATTTCAACCATCTGTTTGTAAAAAAGGTTGGATGGCAGGCTGTTAATGTTGCTGTTAGGACATTCGGTGATTTGACGACACGTCGGACAACTCAACTGTCCTTCACGATGCTGCCGTACCCAAGCTTCCAGACAAGTCTTGCAGAACGTGTGGAGACATTTCAGTATTTTTGGTTCATTGATTTGACTAAAATGTTCCTGGCAAACGGGACATTCCAATTCTTTTTTGACATCATCGAAAAAGCTCTTACTTTGCGCCATTACTTCTAAAGGTGGACGGTTACGGCAGCACTAAAACACTGACTCCCGGAATCCGGAAACGGAAACGGAATACAGAATCTGTGAAAGAAGGTTCCAAGCGATCGATTTGAAAAAAAAATATATTGGCAATGACAATAGAATAAATAAACAGATAAAAAAAGACGCAAATGAATAAATTAGCTGAGTAGAGGAGAGGAGACTGCCCTATCACTAGAGAAGTCGATTCCGGTGAAAAGACGCTTGATTCCACTATCGGCAATGAATGCAAATTCTCATGGGACAGCAAAGCAAGGAGAAAAACCTTACTGACAAAAACTAGTGCCTTAAGAAAAAGGTAAGTTATATGGAGACAGACTTCGTTTGAATCGTGAAAGGCGTCGCCGTTAAGTTTTTCTTAGTGTCTTTTCTGGGTTGTCTTCAACAGTGTTCAGTTTTATTTATGACCAAGACAACTTACTCAAGAGAACCATGGCAATGTGGAGTCCAAAGCTGGATTCCGCAACCGATTACATCAGGGGCACCCAACGAGGATATAGTTCAAAACCACTTAACATAGCATTGTTGAACGTATTTTAGTATTCAAACGGTAGATATAGGCATATTTTTATCTCCTAAAAACTTTTCATCTGCTCGGATTTCCTAGCTGAAAATCTAGTGATCCGAAAATTATAAGGATAAAAACTTACCTTCTCGAAAATTTCAGCCAGGAAAAGGCTCCCGAAAATTCTAGGTGGCCTTCTTTAGGGTCAAAATCCAAATGCTCCGAAAATTCTAAATCTCAAATCGTCTTCTGAACAGATATTTTCCCGAAAATTGCCGTTGGGTGCCCCTGTTACATCAAAATAATGCGCCATGTTTGATAAGCCTCCAGTATTCCATCAGTATTCAGCTTGGCGAAAAAGTTGAACTTATTGCTAAAACACCGGAACTGTGGTCACGTCACCGGTCGGTCATGTGTGGAGTATTCAGTTTGGGGACAATTACGTGGTGTGGTCTGAGGCTAACTACTACTATTGTTGACAATTAGCTACAAAAGTAATATTTAACTGTATTATTCAACCCATGAACTCGTAAATAAAAATTACTCGTAAAATTACTTTGATCGGGCTTGCAGTGCAGTAACCCACACTACGGCAAACCTTATCAAGACACAATAACAAGAATATATTTAAGGGAACTGCCAAGAAAACTTAGACAAATTCTCTTTGGATTGTACTAAATTGTGTAATGTGAAATTCTTTAATTTTCTATCATTGATATTTGATTCCGTATTCCGTTTCCGTTTCTGTTTCCGTTTCCGTTTCCATGATTCCGTTTCCTTTTCCGGATTCCGGATTCCATATTTTAGTGCTGCACGGACGATTACGTGGGTGAGAACAGCAGCCATACAGAAAACAAGGATTCTCGGAATTATAGCGGAAGTGGACCATCCGCCCAATTAGTCTGGTTCTCGATCCCAGGTCCTCCTCAATAAACACTGAGTAAGCACGAATCATGCGCTATCCTCAATAGCTCTTGATCAATCAGCCCGTGACTGCATTTCACCTGTTTATTTTGTTTTGATATATTTGCAAAATACCAGTGGCAGATCCAGGAGGAGGGTCCGGGGTGTCCTTATATCGACAGGATCGTATATCACTTTTTAACTGGCTGATCTTTTCAATGAAACGCGCGTTGCATTTTCCCACTAAACTAAATTCCAAGGATATTCCAAAATGTAATTGTTGTTGAGTACCCTTCAGTATGATCTGTTCGCCTCTGCTCGCAAAGCATTTCCCGCACCAACGGCGACCAGTGTTCACAGATAGAGAAACACGTCGTCTCTGTGAGAAGTAATTTCCCACAAAAAAGTTTAGGTATTTTTTTTTTTTTTTTTTTTTTAGGTATTTTTATTTATTTGCCACACAATTACATTACTTAAAGATGCCAAAAGAAAAAAAAAAAAATGTAAAATGAAGAGATGGCGAGGAGGCCTAAAAGAAACTATAGAGCTTATGTTAATTAGGCCTCCTCAATTACAATTTTTCGAAGATGGCATAAAAATTACGACGACGGGTACAGTATAATATCAGGTGAAAAATTAAACTAATCAATATTACGGAAGTTTACATGTACAAATGTTGAATATTAAAAGGCTTTTTCCCAAGATTTTTGTTGAAGTATACTAATAATTATTACAAATAAATGCCTTAAGTGCTCTTTTAAAGGAGAAAGGTGAGGAAGCGTTGATGATGTTGGTGTTTAAGGTGTTGTAAAATTTAGGTCCTTGATAAAAAACGGAAAATTGCTTGGTTCGAGTACGACAGAAAGGCAGACGAAATTTACACAAGTTTGAATTCTTGTATTATACGAATGAATTTGACTTTGTAAGGTAAATTTACAATGAAATTTTAAAGGTAGAGTATGGTTTTGATAGGAGTACATGAATAAGCCTAGTTGTATTAAGTATATATCATGAAATTTTAAGATACCAAGATTTTGAAAGATTGGGTCAGTATGTGCATCGAAAGGAGTTTTAGCTAAGTCCTGATCACTTGCTTCTGTAGAATTTCAAGAAGAATAAGGTTAGTTTTGTAAGCAGAGGCCTAAACTAAGTTGCAGTAAAAAAAAGTATGGATAGACGAGTGAAAAATATAATGTTCGTAAAGTTTTTGTAGATAAATAGAACCTGGATTAACGAATAATTCCTACGGATTTAGAAACTTTGTTGGCGACATGAGAGATTTCAGACTAAATTTTCGTCCATGATTACTCCCAGGAAAACTGTTTCTTTTACTTGATCAATTTTTTGACTATTAATTAAAAGTTGAATAGTTTGATTTGTACGCTTTTGGGATGGTTTAAATGCAATGAATTTGGTTTTTTCAAGTTTAATGAAAGCCTGTTAGCTCTAAACCATATTGACAACTTATTTAGTTCAGCGTTCAGTATATTAGTAAGGCAGTCTTTATCCTTGTGAGACACAAATACGTTTGTATCATCGGCAAATAGTATCAGTTGTAATATTGTTGACGTGTTGATTATATCGTTGATGTAGAGTAGATAAAACAAAGGCCCTAGTATTGAACCTTGGGGAACGCCACACATGATATTAGCACGATACGAAACATAACCATTGTATTCTACAAATTGAAGTCTGTTGGAAAAATAGTTCTTAATCCATTTCAGAGCCAAGCCACGTATACCATAGTGTTCAAGTTTATCAAATAAGATGGAATGATTGACTGTATCGAAAGCTTTCGAGAGATCTGAAAAGACACCAACCGCTAATTCACCACGATCAATAGCAGATGAAATTTTTTCATGCAAATCAATCAAGGCAAGCGTCGTAGAGTGGTTTTTCCTGAAGCCGAACTGGTTATCACAGAGAATATGTAAATTAGTTAAATAATCATACAAACGATTATAGATGATCCTCTCTAGAAATTTTGAAAAGCTTGGTAGAACCGAGACAGGACTATAGTTAGTGAATAGTGACTGGTCATCAGCTTTAAACAGAGGTACCACACGAGCTATTTTCATTTGATCTGGTACAATGCCATGAGCGATCGATAAATTCATAATGTGAGCCAGAGGTCCCGAAATGATTTGAATGGATTCCTTAATTATAGACATTGGAATATTATCATATCCAGCCGCTTTCCCGGAAGCAAAAGATTGAGCAATGGTAATAATTTCATCCTCTGTTGTTGGGCTAAAAAAGATTGATTCTCGAAATGATCCAGATAGAAAATCTTTATGTGAACAAGGAGGAGGCTGTATCTTCTTTGCGAGGTTGGGACCAATACTAGAGAAGTAGCTGCAAAACCTATCTGCTACTTCCACTGGATCAGAAATCTCCTGACCGTCTGACTTAAATATTGTATTTAATTGAGGCCTCGACTTTTTTCTATTTAAGACTTCGTTTAAAATTTTCCAGGTCGCATGTGTATTTGATTTAGCATCTTCCAATTTCTTTTCATAATACTGACGCTTAGCCAAACGCAAGGTGTGATTCAATTTGTTCTTGTATCTTTTGTAGAGTGAACAATTGTCGACTGTTGGAACTTGAAGATATTTTTTGTAAAGTTTATTCTTTGTTTTAATTTTCGTTAACCACGGTTTTTTAAAGCGCCTCTGCTTTCTAGTCGCCTTCTTGAGAGGGAAGCAATCGTTATAAATCTTTGTATACATTTCATGAAAGCGTTTGTACGCAATATATGGCTCATCACAAGTTTCAATCGAAGACCAATCAACAGCTTCTAGTTTTTCAACAAAAGTAGGAATATTATTCGGATTCTTATCTCTAATAAAGAAGGGGTCTTGTCGACATCGATTTACCGACGTGTTAACGTTATCTGAATGAATTGAGAAGACGGGTAGATGATCTGAAATGTCAGTAAATAATAAGCCGCTTCTCGAACGTTCAAAAACGTTGTTCGCAAAAATATTATCTATTAACGTAGCAGTATGTGAAGTAATTCTCGAGGGACGCGTAATCAAAGGAAAAAACATATTAGAGTACATTCCATCTAGGAATTGGCCTGTGAGGTGATGATTTTGGTAGTTAATTAAATTAATATTAAAGTCCCCCATTAGGAAGCATATTTTGTTTTCTCTAGAGATATTACCTAACAACTCATTGTTTGTAGACAAGAAATCGTCGAGTCTATGATTTGGCGGTCTGTAAACAATACCAACAATTATATTTTTTTCTCGAGGTCTTATTAATTCAATGAACAGTGATTCTACAGTATCAACATTATGGAGGGACAAATCTTCTCGAAGTTTGAACTCTAGATCGTTTGAAATATAAAGCCCTACCCCACCTCCAGTTCTATTTTGCCTATACTTGTGAAGAAATTTGAAACCATTAATATCGACCGAATGAGCAGAATCGTTTAGCCAGGTCTCAGAAATTCCGATTACAGAAAATTTTATGTTTAAGCATGATAGATAGTCAGTCAGCTTTACTAAATTATGAGGAAGACTACGAATATTAAGATGTAGGAAAGAGAAATCGGCATCAGAATAATTTTCGCGTCTGAGCATTTCGTTAAATTGATTTTCAATAAAATAGTCGCAGGGTGTCTCAACTGCATGAAAATTAATGTCAGGATCAAGACTGCCAGACTGTGTCAAAGAAGCGTTTGAGTTTGAAAAAATTGGATTGTAACGTAAGCTAGAAAATCTATCGGGATCAAAGTGAACAGGACCATTCTGTAGTTCATATAGCGCCAGAGAAAAGCTAGAATCATCTAAATGATTAAAGGGCAGTACATCTGATAGCGAGTATTGTGTCACTGTAATAAACTTATCTAATTTAACCACTTATCTGATTTAACCACGTCTGTCCTTTACAATCAATTTGTCCAACACAAAGTACGCTATTTTTCCATTCCGCTTTGCTTCCTCCAGCTTGGGTCTCTGCTCTTCACGCTTATCAAGGGTCTCCTTAGCAAGATCTTCATTTACGTATAAACCGACAGGTTTAATTCTTCTTGTCGCCTTCAATATTTGCTCCTTTTGCTTAAAGTCTCGAAGTTTGCACACAATTGTGCGAGGGCGTCTTCTAGGGCCAGAAGCAACCCTACCAACACGATGAGCACGTTCGATGTGGAGCGCTTCTTCAAGGTTGAGCTTCTCCGCTAGAACTTGTTTGACTTTTTCCTCTGTAGTGTCCCACGATTCGTTTTCTTCTTCTAAGATCCCATCAATTCTGATGTTGTTTCTTCTACTCTGATTCTCCAAATATTCTAATTTGTCCATATGGTAGTCGATAGAGTCGTAGATGTCCTCGATGTCATCCTCTATCTCAGCAAGTTTGGTTTTACACGGCTTTAGCTCGTCGATATCTTTCTGAGAGAATTCAAGACTTTGTTTGAATTCTTTTGTGTTCTTCTGGCATATGTTTAGGCGAGTCTTAAGTTCAGCCACAGTTCCAACCACTGTATCTAGTCGAGAATTGAAATTGCTCACAAGCGAATCTACAAGGGTTTTAAACATCCTTTCTTGAAGCTGAAGCATCTCATTCAACATCGCCGTCGTTACAAATTCATTCGAGGGATTCTTGTCAGCGCTTGGTGAGCCGCCGGATGTCTTAGAATTACGTGTTTCTGGCATAATTTTAGCGCACAGGAAAAACAAAAATACTGAAAAATCGATGAAATAGGCAAGAAAAAGAGCGAAATAATCAAAATACGAGGAGCTAAAAAATTAGCGTCCGCTCGCCATAAATATGCAAATATCAAGTTTAACAGTCCTTTCTGATCCAAATTTTGGACTCCCCCAATCCATCCGGATCCGCTCCTGAATAACATACATGGTAAGTATCCAAGGGAGGGAAGAGTCAATACCCCACTCATTGTATCCCACACTAGCCTCCCACGCAAACGTTCGTAGGGGTTCGTCACGCGTTCCTACCCCACGAACGTTCGTGGGAGAGGAATGATTGCGTGACGAACCCGTAAGAACGTCTGCGTGGGAGACTAATCCCGACACGGGCTTAATTCTTAATCCTTGTACTATGCATAACGACTGTGAATAAGATGAACGTTTTCTGGTAAAGAGTACACCTCTATATTACAGACTCCTGAGCTTTCACCGTAGTCGCAAAAGTGCTGCAATCTTCATACAATTTCTAATTCTATTGTAGGACATTTGACTCTGTCCCTCTGCTCTCCCAGGTTTCACTATATACAGTCAATTGAACAGATTACGAATATCAAATGCGCCAATTTCAAAAATTTATCGCATGTTACCGAAAAACCATGGACCAAATAGTTTCCCCATGTAGACCATGTAAAATGGTCAACAACGTCTAAAGTCATTTCCCATAGCTTTTAGTGCCGCGGGGATATTTTGTTTTTGTTGTGTTTGTTTGTTTGTTTGTTTTGCCTTACGCTAAAAACTGATGTCCTATAATACATTGGAAGCATGAAGTACTCTACAGAACCTTCTACTCCTACATGGATATTCTTCAGCAATTTCTTTAGCGAATCATTTATTGAATCAGTTTCTTTTTTCAGTTCTAATGTTACTTATTTAACCAACTAAAAAGCAAAAGGGAATATTGATTGTCATAATTCCTGTTTAAACAGCTTCAAAAGGAGGTGTATACTGTATAACATCTCAAAACGGTCTAAATAGCACATTGGGTATGGTTTACAAGACTGAAGATAACGCGTTCATCGAATTCCTTTTGCAGCCAACTCTTCTTTGACTCTCCGTAGGTAGCCTGAATCGGGATATCCAAACCTTGAAAATACAAAATCGCATTTATGAATCTGAGACTTAAAACGGTTGCTTCAGTCCATCGGTGTTGAACTGAAGGGGCTTAGTTCCTCTCAGTGTTAATCGAACACAATAGTTAGACAAAGAGACAGTAAGAAGCAAGAATAGATGAATGGACAAATTACAGCTCTATTATTGAACTGTGAATCAAATCCAGATCCTTCTTCATCCCAGTTTTAAGCGAGCATCATTTAATTAGTTGATAACTTGTCCTAGTGACTGGGCGATTTTATAATAAGCTCGATTTCTTTTCTGAGAACTGAATATGTTCACCAGTCTAGAGTCACTTAACGTTGAACACAGTAGTCGAAAAAAACAAGATATGGGTAATTGTAAGTCTTTTGATACGAAATTACTAAAGGGTACCTTGAATGGCAGTAGGCGAACCTATTAATTCCTTACCCATACTGACCCCCAGATATGCTAGTCTTGTGATGAATATCATTCCATATCACTTGATTTGAAAGCCCTGTTGTATTTGATGTACCCACTGTAAACACCAGTCGAGCATCAAACGCTCTCCTCAAAAACTGCAGCACCTCTCGTCCTTCATGATTGTCTGGGAGATAAGCAGTGCGTGATGTGCCTTGATAATGCTGACCAGGGTTTGGATGTTCCGGGCCTTGTACTCCGGACGGAAACTGATAACTGATGACTATTTTCCCGTAGCCTGCAAATGTTACATTTAATAGTGTGTTTAAACATCACGTCACAGGCGGCAGCCTATCTATCAGCAGCTTGTCTCCTGGGCCCAGTTGCTTTGACGGCCGAAGTAATAGCTAGTCACTGGGGGCGTGCAAAATCTTATTCCAATTTCCTATTCTGAATCAGTTTTCCGTTTATTTTAACTTGTCATTTTAGAACATCCGAACATGGAACTGTCAAAGCGGCCATATTGGTGTTGCAAAACAATAAAAAGGCCACTATGTTGGGAGTTTATAAAAAACTTTCCTTTGTTCCAAGAAATTTGCAAAGACGCTACTTTGCTAGTGAGTAAAATTGCTCTCGTTTTCACTCACCTGGCTAGCAGCTATGCAAATTTATTGTTTAAATTCGGGCTTTAAAGAGTTTTACCTTCGTAGCCTGGAACGCCGTTACGATCAGTATAGAAAGTCATCTGTCCACGAGGCTGGTTTCCTGTGATAACACCTTGAGGCTGTTGACAGACCGGGCACCTGTTGCACACATTTAAAGCAGTTTGAATACACTCGAAACAAAAACTGTGCTTGCACTTTAAACTTCTTGGACTTGACATGGGATCAAGACAAATAGGACAGCTCTCTGTGGAAAAATATGATACAACGCCTAATCACGGAAGATAGACGATATTAAATATAAAATGTTAGCTAGGTTATATTTAGCGTGGGTCTTCACTCCTCTACTTAAATTTCTTAAATGAAAGGAATCGGTAACTGGCTATATTTCTTGAAAAGACGTTCATTTCCCACTTTCACCGATGAAACGAAGGACTCCTAGCCTTTTTGACAATCATAAGAGTCAAGGTAGTAACACATACAGACAACCGGACGCGCCATTACCAAAACCGAAACTTCTACGTACTGCCAGTCGCTTCACAAGATACTTGCGGCAGTTCAGCATTTTTTTGCTGTTGACTTTGTCATACTCCTCCAAGCATTTTACTTTAACATTATACGGAATAAAATATCTTACTTTGCGCCATCATTGCCAAGTGAAAACCAGTGCGAAGTGTGGGGATACAAAACAACGATCTTTCCGAGAATTAGCCGGAAGTTCCGTGTTTAACTTTCCATCTTGTCCCCAGGTTCCTCTCACGTATTAAAATCGGGAAATGATTTAATTGATATTGCTGGTGCGGCGGTTTTAAAGAACTTCACGTGTACTCTCTCCCCTTTCTTCCTTCACATGTTTTTTCTCGACCTCCGCTGGAGAATGAACAAAATATAATAAAAGCCTTACACTTCTGTAGGGCAAAAATGATTTCAAAAGAAACTAGTAAGCACACGGTGAATTCTGAAGTCACTGTTTAAAAATGGTCACAAATAAGGGACTGAATGTTTTGTTTTGTAGCTAGGAGCCTACTATACTGCCTACTATAGTCTCTCACACAGGCCCGCTTTTTAGATAGTTTCGTTCTTTATCCATTGTTATCCCGAGGGGGGGGGTACTCGACCAATATTTGGGTATAGGTTTGAAACACTCATCCTCTCTTGCTTTGAAACCCTAAATACATGATCTGTTTAGGACAAAACCTTAAATTTTGTTACCCTGTTTAGGAGAAAGAGAAAAATACACGCTGCCTTGTTTCAAATCCATTCATAAGTTTTGAGTACATTGTATAGGTCGTTTTCACTGTCATGCAACAAAAAAAATATATTGGAAACCGTCCAGTGGTAGCCTGTTCACAGACCCTCTGTATTCTCTTCAAAGTCCGTCGGGCGCGGGTAATAAAAGGTCACGGGTCACGGGTTCGAATCCCGTTGAAGCCCTGATTTTTTTCAGGCTTCTTCTTTCCAATTGCTTAAATTGGAAAATTCACTGCGATGATCATTCTTCACTTTCATCTACAACCGCAGTTCAAATATGAATTATTTCATATACTTCACATCAAAATATAAACTGCAGGGTATTTATTGACCGCCAGTGCAAGGGGGTAGTGTTTTTCTCGCGCTCCGCGCTCGTTGTCGCGCGCTCGCTTAGCTCGCAGATGTTTTCGAAAAGAACGAAAAGAAAAATCAAATAAACGTCTGTGTACAGGCTCTCCAGTGGAAGAAGCCAAGATAATGAAATGTTATGAAAGACAAATATATAAACAATTTTTCCAAGCCTCAGGTCTTTGTGGCCCACAGTTTTTGAGTTATATGTCGAAACGTTTCACGCACCTTTGTAGTGCTTTGTATGGAGACGCCATATTGGTGTACCGTTGTGGTGCACCAATATGGCCGCCAGAAATCAACAAAAACATCTGGAGTTCACTTTTCTATAAAAGCCCTTTTTTTTCCCTCGAGAACTAGCATACGTGCGCATAAACATATCTTTTAATACTTGAAATGGTTATACTGCTGAAAATCAAGAGGAGAGACTTTTTTTCAACGAGACAGCATTGCTATTTTGGTGTCACCCATTGTGAAAACTCGGAGGCTCAAATTGCTGTATTTTCGTAATGATACATGCTACGGGAATGGAAACTTGTACAAAGATTTACTTTTTACCTTCAACCTAGTGTAAATAAGAGTTCATAAAACCTCGCTATTTTGATTTTACAATTTGATGAAGTCACTATGAAAACCATCTATACTTGGCGTACAAACAAATTTTATCAAGAAAATGAAAACTGTCCTGCTGGCAATACCCCGTTTATAATTAGGACAGACTCGCACAAAATTATACACCCTGTATAGAACACGGTAAATGTGTTTTTTTCAAGGGTGGGTGGACCGAGTTACTACTCAAGGTCCGAGAACATACGAACGTAAAATAGGAAGCCTTTTATCCATCACACATATCTACTTTTATTTTTTGTTAACAATAATTAACAATTAATGAATGAGGCTGAGTATCGGATAACACCCTCCGAGATCTCCATAATTCTTCATATGATACGAAAGCCGAATTCAATAATTGTTTTGTTAATCATTCAAAATAATTCCTAGTTTAAAACATGGCTAAAACATGCTTACCTCCATCGATCTATCGATGTTAAGTTGATCTTCGATAGTGCACATTTAGGGTTATTCAGCTCCGCAAATATTCTCCAAATAGAAGATGTCGCCGTTCGAGTTGTGTTCTTGCTTTTAGCTACAATTTCGCCTAGTTCTTACTCTTGAAACGAGTGAAATGTCCGCCATTTTTTGTTTTCTCAACCAAAACAACTCAACCTCGTCCCCAGGTCTTCTCGGTTAACGGTTCATTAACCTGCAAGAACGCTGTATTTTTGACGTCATTTCCTCGTTAAACACAAAATTCTTCCAAATTTGGTCATCAGTAACTGGTTATGGTGAATTATGCGTGTGCTTTTAGCCAAACAGAATCGGGGAAATATTTTGAATGAATAATAATATGACATAAGCATTGTAAGCCATACTTGATCATTCCTGATTTATCTTAAGCGAATTTTAACTATCACAGGAAATTTATGAAAAGGTCTGTCTACAGCGAAAAAGAACGATGATCTCTTGCTATTGCTAATAACAAAATGATACAGCACTCCGACCATGCCATGCAAAAACACTAATCAAGGTAATGTCTTTTTTCAGGTAACTGACAACAGTTTTAGTTGGCAGCCTATCTAACAGCAGCTTGTCGAGCGTGCGCAGTTGCTTTGACGGCCGATAATCGCTAGCCACTGAGGGCGTGCAAAATTTTATTCCAGATCAGTTTTCTGTTTATTTTAACTGGTCATTTTAGAGCATCCAAACAAAGAACTATTGGCAAAAATTATCAACCTGGATTTGCCTTGCAGGCGTTCAGATCTGTGTTTTAATTTCGCGTGAATCCTGGAATATCTTGCTTTGAATAACATGGCCCTGGAGGCTATCTTGTCTGCATTCCGTAATATCCTACCGGCCATATATATACAGGCTGCCTAAAGGTGATGTTACAAGGAACGATTCGCAACGACGATATTTTGCGCAACACAGCATTGCAATGTTGGAACAATGTTGCGACCATTTGAATTAATGTCGCAGCCATGTTGCAACTCTGTGTTGCGCTACAAATTGTTGTTGCGAATCGTCCCGTGTAGGCATCACCTTAACGGTAACGATGCAAGAGGCCTTAGAAGTAAGTAACCCGGCATCTCAAGTAACAGCGACATTATTTTTCCTGCACTTCCCCCCCGTCTTCTTTGATGGTATGAAGTGCCAGGCCAAAATACTTTCTCGCAAAATGTTTCTTTATCAGTGATTTAAATGCCCACATTGACACGTGTCCTTTAATACGGTGGCCCAGAAGGGTCACACATGCAAATTAAAAATGTTGCTGCAACTTAAAAATAGTAATGCAAAGTAAAAATGTTGCTGCAAATTAAAAATAGTACATGCAAATTAAAAATTGTACATGCAAACTAAAAATTGTGCTGCAAATTGAAAATAGAAAACATATCGATGCAAATTAAAAATGAAAAGTCCTGTGCGCGCAGTATGAGTGATGAGGAGGGTCCGAGCCGTGCGACCTGGCCTTACAGCCGTCGGCTCATTCATGTTTCATGTTTGTAATATTTTTAGTTTGCATGCACAATTTTTAATTTGCATGTCCTATTTTTTAATTTGCAGGAACATTTTTAATTTGCAGGTAAAATTTTTAGTCTGCAGCAACATTTTTAATTTGCATGTGTGACCCTTCTGGGCCACCGTACATACCGGCATACGTACTGTGAAATCGACAAAACCTTCTTCACCGACCATTCTCTTAGTTAGTATCCTTCTTCGAGAAATTGCTTGATCTAGTTAACGTTATAACCATTTTAAACTGGCCACATGCACGAGGAAAACCTGTTTGTGTTTGGACATAAATTTTCCTAATAGTAGCCCCTTTCTCATGTTCAATGCTCGATTTCGTCATTTCTGAAACTTCATCTTAATGGAAAAAAATTGAAAATAGCAGTGAAGACTACACCCCATGTAGAACCTAATCATTCATTGGATTCCTTTAGCAGCCAATTCTTCTTTAACCCTCTGAAAATAGTCTGGATCGGGATAGCCAAACCTTAAACAAAGACAAAATCACGTTAACTTGGAGGACTAAGGAGGACTGCTTAAAGCTAAGGCAATTTCTGTTAGTAATAAAGTATTAGACCATAAAGGTTACATGAAACGGGTAGATAGTAGGACAGTACAAACCATGGTTGGATGGACGGATAAATCAAAGGAAGGAGAGCGGGAGTGATGGATGGATGGATGAATAGATAGATAAAAGGATACAAGGATACTGGACACTAGGTAAATGCAAAACAAATAAACAACTGTATTATTATAATTATTATCACAGTAGTAAACCTCAAAGACAGACTCCCTTAATTACGGTTCGATTCTATAGTCGCGATATTTATTTTGCAAAACCTTTACTTCATTTATTGCGTTACAGAACCTTGCAGTAGTATACTCGTAGTATATAGTGTAAGTCTGCAAGTCTGCTTGACGTGAGGCTAAATTGGCCCACGAGGGACTAGTACGAGACGTACCAGGAAAGCATGTATGTCGCCCTTGTAATATCCATGACAGTCTTGGATTGCGGATTCCCCTCTGAGGATTCCGGATTCCAGGTACTGTATTCCAGTATTTGTCAGTAGAATTGGATTCTGGATATCCAATCGTTAGTGGGATTCCGGATTCCTTGAGCTGTATTCCGGATTCCAAAACCCAGATTTCCGGATTCCATGAGCAAAATTTTCCCGGATTCCGGAATCAGGATTCCCTGAAATTGGGCGATCTATGGACTACTATATATTGCTTATCCAGATTGTCTCCTTACCCGCGAGGACCCCCAGATATATTGGTCTTGTGATGAATATCATTCCATATCACTTGATTTGAAAGCCCTGTTGTATTTGAGGTACCGATTGTAAACGCCACTCGAGCATCAAACGCTCTCCTCAGAAGCTGAAGCACCTCTCGTCCTTCACGATTGTCTGGAAGATAAGCAGTGCGTGAAGTGCCGTCATAATACCGACCAGGATTTGGATGTTCTGGACCTTGTAATCCCGAAGGAAACTGATAATTGATGACGATTGTGCCGTAGCCTACAAAAGTTTCATATAACGGCAACATTAGAATATAAATTGACACCGAATGAGAATAAGCAGCAGAACTGAAGCATATGTGGTCACCTGTGGTACATTTGAAACAGTACCTACATTGGCAATGCATATCACGTATATTATAATTAAATACACGAGGACATACATTTGCCAAGTCCAGAGCCAATTTTAGCAACTTTAGATGCGGTCTTCTTCTTGTTGTTGTTGTTTTTAAGTACACGCCGAACAGAAATGTAGTAATAGCGATAGAAGTGCGTAGAGTTGGTTTTCTCGGTTTGGAATTTTACCTTCATAGCCTGGAACACTGTAACGATCAGTATGAAATGTCATCTGTCCACGAGGCTGGTTCCCTTGAATGATACCTTGAGGCTGTTGACATACCGGGCACCTGTTACACGCTTTTAAAGCAACTTGAATGCATTCTGAACAAAAACTGTGCTTGCACTTCAGACTTCGTGGCTTTGATTTTTGATGAAGACAAATAGGACAGACCTCTGTGAAAAATAAAAGTTAAGACCACAATTAAATATGAATTTCACTTCTGAAGCGAAAAAACTGCTAAGCCGGATAGGAACAATGAGTCACTTGGATGCGTAATGTTTATCTATAATCATGAATTGGATAAAACATAAATGGCCATCCGATTCTAGAGTTTCAAAGTAGCTTTGCACTGTTTACTTTAATCTTTGTACCTTTTTGTAAAGGCTCAAGTTTTTTGCTCTCGTCTACCTTTTCATTTGTATATAAATTTTTTGTCAATAATAAATAGAAATGTGTTGAATTTTTCTCTGTTGATTTTGTCGATTTGTAGCTCAGCTATCAACCGGAAACGCTTCTAGAATTATGAAGGGGGTACCATTCTCTGTTGTTTGTCATAAAAAAGAAGAGGTTTGCATTGCAGTATAAACCTTTGTAAGGTTTCCCCTTCCCCCTCCGCCCACCACCTTGTATTATTCATCAAACTGACCAACAAAATCAGTGAAGACTCTTGGCCAAAGGAAAGAAAGCAAGCAAAATAAGGGCGGTACCAATGAGAGACAATGCTCGTCCCGACAAACAAGCTATAACGATCTAACCATCTGACACAGGCTGGCACCCATTTAAAAGTTCAATAAAATATAAGTACAGATTTTCCTCCATATTTAGCTTCTATACATTGAAACGAATAGAGGGAAAAAAAATAAGAAAGAGGTAATTTCCGATTTGTTTACAGACAGGAAAATAATCACAGAAATATTAAACTATTTATGTTCTATACCCCGTCTAGAGGTCTCAGGTGGGGCGACTTCCATACGATCTTCGACGTCTTTTGCTTTTTTGTGTCGTCCTTTTTCGTCTTCTCTTTCCCTGTTTATTTCAACTCCTTCCTCCTCAAGGAATCTGAGAGCCTCTTCAATATTGTTTGCCTCTCCGTAAAGGCACCACGGCTGTTTCTGATTCTTGTCAATTTCTACTGATACTGGGAAATGTTTACTCATTTTACTTATTGTCCGACGTGCACTTACTATATCTGTCTCAGTTTTGAGCGAAAAGCGCTGCATTTTTATTTGTGGGACCGTGTTTTGGAACAGAGAGATAAATTGGCAGCAGGCTTCTTCGTAATCCTCGGTGGTACAAGAATCTTTAGACTTTAGTCGGAGTCTTGTTCCATCCAGTTTTCTGGGTATTTCAACGTGGTACTTAATCTCGATGTCTTCTAGTTCTTTCTTGTGCGCTCTCACAATAACTTCGTGAAACCTAGGCTCAAGCTCAAAGTCTGCTAGAAACAAAAGAAGACGAAAATGAAAGATAACATTAATAGTCCTTTTGACAAGCCAAGTTGGGCACAACCTTATACATAATGTTTATCTAGCCGAATTTTTGAAAAGGTTCTTGCTAAACGACATGAGAATTCGCACATTTAGTTTAACAGCAGCGAGTCTGATAAATGAATTAAATATAGATGAAATGTAAAGTGCTTTAAATAAATGTCATCGCTGGGTTTATGTCTGAAGAAGTAAAGATTCTCGTCCTTCCTTTGTAACAAAACAAGTTAAATTGCTTTTCCCACTTCTTAATGTCGATTAATGGAATAACCTTGATTTTGAAGAAAAGAACGTTACCTTGCTCGCTGATATCTGGTTGATTTTTCACTTCTAAAGTAAATGGACTGCCCATGATCGGGTTTCCTAGTACTTCGACTGACACAGTAAACTTTCCAGGAGTTTTTGGTTTGTAAGAAACTGAATAACGGCCGTCTTTTAAGTCTGTCACAACCGTCCGCAGTGTCTCGTGCCCCGACAATGAATTAATCTTTGTAATGACTTCATCTATCGTGCTGTAACTTGTTTGGCCTTGTGCATTCTTTGTAGTAACGGTAAAACTGCCATCCGTGCCAACTACTCCCTTTGTGAGATTCTTGCCTTCTGCAACTGATAATAAAGGCTCAGTGTCGCTTGTGACTAACTTTCCCGGTGCGTCTTTTAGAAAGACATCATTTTGCATGTACTTGACCTCTGAGTAACCCAGCTTCGGAAAAGCTTCCAAAGGTTCCAAGGAAACAGAGACTTCTCTAAGCTTATCTTCGAGTACTGCTTTGACGTTTAAAATTTCCGGTAAGTTATTTCGAAGAAGAATCTCCTCTGAAAAGGCTAAGGTGCTGTCTATTTCCATTAGTTTGTCGTCTAACATAGTCATTTGATTGTCAAATGCATTTGTAAAGGCTTGTTTCTGTTTGATTAATTGTTCGGTCACCCTTGCTTCGTGCTGGCGAATTGATAATATACAGAGTTCAGCTACTCGCTTCACTTCTTTTGTCGCTTCTTCGATACTGCCATTTACCTTCATTTTTCTTTTCTCTAGAGAGACTTTGTAACTTCTCAAACGAGACCCGTTTCCTTGAGCTACATGAACTCTGATATCAATTTCAGACTTAATGTTTTCAAGTCCCTGGTCAAGCGAGATCTTGTTGTGATCCTGATGCTCCAATATGGCGCATTCAATGCAAATGCAACTTTGGCACCGTTCGCAGTAAAACCGAATCTCCTTTATATGCGTTTTGCAATAGTTTGACCTGCGAGCGTAGTCATTCATATCGCTGGACTCAAAATTACCAATATCTTTCACATGATGGCCACTGAAAATTTTTCCTTTCTTATGGACGCCCACGCAGTCATTGCACAAAAAGCTGTTGCATTCAAAACAATAAAATTTCAAAGGTTTCTTTTCGCCGCACAATCCACATTGAGGCGAATCTTCTTCCCCTTGGCCACTGTAAGCCTCCACTATTTCCAACATCTGCTTGTAAAAAAGGTTGGATCGGAGGCTGTTAATGTTGCTGTTAGGACATTCGGTGATTTGACGACATGTCGGACAACTCAACTGCCCTTCACGGTGCTGCCGTATCCAACCTTCCAGGCAAGTCTTGCAGAACGTGTGGAGACATTTCAGTATTTTTGGTTCATTGATTTGACTAAAATGCTCCTGACAAACAGGACATTCTAATTCTTTCTTGACATCATCGAAAAAGCTCTTACTTTGCGCCATTACTTGTTTAGGTGGACGGTGAGAACAGCAGCCATACACAGAACAAGGTTTCGCATATAGCGGAAGTCGACCAACAACAACTGGTTCGGTTCTCGATCCCAGGTCCTTCTCAATAAACAGTAATCACGAATCGCGCCTGCCCTCAATAGCACTTGATCAATAAGCCCGTGACCGCATTTTACCTGTTTTTGCAAATACCATAACAGGGCAAATATCTAAGGGAGGGGAGAGAGGAGTCAATCCCCCACTCATTGTATCCCACAGAGGCTTAATCCTCGTTATCTCACACAGGCACAGGCCTAATCCTTAATCCTTGTACTACGCATAAAGTATTTCCAAATAAAGGCAAACTTCTTCTAGTAAAGGGTACACCTCTTACACACTCAGCTGTCAGCTTAAACGCAAAAATGACGCAATCTTCAAACAATTTCTTACCCCACTCTAGGACATTTGACTCTGCCCCTCTGCTCTCAGAGGTTTCACTGTATACAGTCAATTGCGGATATCAAACGCGCCAATTTCAAAAATTGAGCGCATATTAACGAAAACCGAACACCAAATAGTATGCCCATGTAGACCATGTAAAATGGTCAGCAACGTCTAAAGTCATCTCCCCCAGCTTTCACTGTCGCAGCGATATTTTGTTTTTGTTTTGTTTTTTTGTTTTTGTTTTTGTTTTAGTTTGTTTGTTTGTTTGTTTGTTTTTTTTTTTGCCTTGACCTGAAAACTGATGTCCTATCATACATTGGAAGTATGACTTACTCTACAGAACCGTCTACTCCCACATGGATATTCTTCAGCGTTTTTTTTGGCGAATCATTTATTGAATTTTTGGGGAGCATTATAATGGTAATTTTTAAACAAAACTCATAAGCAAAAGGGGATATTGATTTCCATAATTCCTGTTACGTTCGAATTTTATTATCTTCAATTGTCTAAACAGCTTCAAATGGAGCTCTATTGTATGTCATCTCAAAATGGTCTATTAATAGTACATTGCGTATGGTTTACCAGACTGTGACGAGTATTCATTGGATTCCTTTAGCAGCCAATTCTTCTTTGATTCTCCGTAGGTAGCCTGAATCGGGATATCCAAACCTTGAAAACACAAAATCGCATTCATGAATCTAAGACTTTAAACGGTTGCTTCAGTCCATCGGTGTTGAACTGAAATGGGGCTTAGTTCCCCTCAGTGTCAATCGAACAGTATAGTTAGACAAAGAGACAGCAGGAAGCAAGAATTGATGAATGGACAAATTATAGCTCTATTATTGAATTGTCAATCAAATTCAGATCCTTCTTCATCCCAATTTTAGGCGAGCATAATTTCCTTGAATACTTGTCCTAGTGACTGTGCAATTATATATTAACAAGCTCGATTTCTTTTCTGAGAACTGATTATGTTCACTGGTCTAGAGTCACTTCACATTGAACACAGTAGTCGAAAATAACAAGATATGGGTAATTCTAAGTCTTTTGATACGAAATTACTAAAGGGTGCCTTGATCCCTTACCCATAAGGACCCCCAGATATGCTAGTCTTGTGATGAATATCATTCCATATCACTTGATTTGAAAGCCCTGTTGTATTTGAGATACCCACTGTAAACACCAGTCGAGCATCAAACGCTCTCCTCAAAAACTGCAGCACCTCTCGTCCTTAATGATTGTCTGGGAGATAAGCAGTGCGTGATGTGCCTTGATAATGCTGACCAGGGTTTGGATGTTCCGAGCCTTGTACTCCGGAGGGAAACTGATAACTGATGACGATTTTCCCGTAGCCTGCAAATGTTACATTCAATAGAGCGTTTAAACCGGCATCACGTCACAGGTGGCAGCCTATCTATCAGCAGCTTGTCTCCTGGGCCCAGTTGCTTTGACAGGCGATAGAATCGCTAGTCACTGAGGGCGTGAAAAGTTTATCCCAGGTTCCTGTTCTAAATCAGTTTTCCGTTTATTTTAACTTATCATTTTAGAGCATCCAAACATGGAACTTTCAAAGCGGCCGGCCATAATGCTGTTGCAAAAAAATAAAAAGGCCCCTATGTTAGGAGTTCAACCTTTGTCTTAATATGTAAAAACTTTCCTTTGTTCCAAGAAATTTGCAAAGACGCTACTTTGTTAGTGAGTAAAATCGCTCTCGTTTTCACTCACCTGGCTAACAGCTATACAAATTTATTGTTTAAATTCTGGCTCTAAAGAGTTTTACCTTCGTAGCCTGGAACGCTGTTACGATCAGTATAGAAAGTCATCTGTCCACGAGGTTGGTTTCCTGTGATAACACCTTGAGGCTGTTGACAGACCGGGCACCTGTTGCACACATTTAAAGCAGTTTGGATACACTCTAGACAAAAACTGTGCTTGCACTTTAAACTTCTTGGACTTGACATAGGATCAAGACAAATAGGACAGCTCTCTGTGGAAAAATATGATACAACGCCTGAACACGGAAGATAGACGATATTAAATATAAATGTTACCTATTGTAGGTTATAGTTAACGTGGGTCTTCCTTCCTCTACTTAAGTTTCTTAAATGAAAGGAATCAGTAACTGGCTGAATTTCTTGAAAAGACGTTCTTTTCCCACTTTCACCGATGAAACGAAGGACTCCTAGCCTTTTTGACAATCATAAGTGTCAAGGTAGTAACACATGCAGACAACCGGACGCGCCACTACCAAAACCGAAACTTCCACTGACAGGCGCTTCACAAGGTACTTGCGGCATTTCAGCATTTTTTGCTGTTAACTTTGTCACAATCCTCCAAGCGTTTTACTTTAACATTATACGGAATAAAATATCTTACTTTTAGCCATCATTGCCAAGGGAAAACCGGTGCGAAGTGTGGAGATACAAATTAAAGAAACAACGATCTTTCCCAGAATTAGCGGAAGTTCCCTGTGTTACTTTCCAGCTTGTCCCCAGGTTCCTCTCATGTATTAAAATCGGGAAATGATGTAATTGATATTGCTGGTGCAACGGTGTGCAACATGCAGTCTTAAAGAACTTCACGTGTACTTTCTCCCCTTTCCCCCTTCGCATGTATTTTCTCGACCTGCGCTGGAGAATAAACAAAATATAATAAAACCCTTACACTTTTGTAGGGCAAAAGTGATTTCAAAATAAACTAAGCACACAGTTAGTTCTGAAGTCACTGTTTAAAAATGGTCACACAAAAGGGACTGAATACTTGGTTTTGTAGCTAGTCTAGCCTACTATACTGCCCACTATAGCCTCTCACGCAGGCCCGCTTTTAGATGGTTTTGTCATTGTTAGTCAGACTCCGTTCTTTATCCATTGTTGTTCCGAGGTGGGGGGGAGATGCTAGATCAATATTTGAGTATAGGTTTGAAACACTCATTCTTTCTTGGTTTGAAACCCTGACCCTCTTCAAGAAAAAAAAGAATCCTGAAATACATGGTCTGTTTGACAACACCTTCAATTTTATTACCCTGTTTAGGAGAAAGGGGAAAATGCACGCTGTCTTGTTTTAAATCCATTCATAAGTCATGATTACACGGTCTTGTGCAAATGAAGTCTATCCTGCTGGCAATACCCCGTTTATAATTAGCACGAAATTATACACCCTGTTTAGGACACGGTAAATATGTTTTTTTCAAGGGTGTGGTGGACCGAGTTACCCTTCAAGGTCCGAGAACATACGAACGTGAGGAAAGAAAGCCTTTTATCCAGCACACACGTCTACTTTTATTTTTTGTTTACAATAATATGACATAAGCATTGTAAGCCATACTTGATCATTCCTGATTTATCTTAAGCGAATTTTAACTATCACAGGAAATTTATGAACAGAAGTTTATCTAGAGCGAAAAAGAAAGATGATCTCTTGCTATTGCTAACAACAAAAAGATACAAGACTCCGACCATGCCATGCAAAAATACAAATCAAGGCAATGTCTTCTTTCAGGTAACTGACAACTGTTCAAAAGCTTGCGCGGCGTGCCCAGTTGCAATTGCTTTGACGTCCGATAATCGCTAGCCACTGAGGGCGTGCAAAATTTTATTCCAGATCAGTTTTCTGTTTATTTTAACTGGTCATTTTGGAGCAACCAAACAAGGAACTGTTGGCAAAAATTATCAACCCGGATTTGCCTTGCAGGCGGGAGATCTGTGTTTTAATTTCGCGCCAATCCTGGATTATCTTGATCCTGCTTTGAATAACATGGCCCTGGTGGCTATCTTGTCTGCATTCCGTAATATCCCTAGCGGACATATATCTATACAGCCTGCCTAACGGTAACGAGGCAAGAGGCCTTAGAAGTCAATAACCCGGCATCTCAAGTAACACTGAGCGAGATTATTTTTCCTGTACTTCTTCCCCGTCTCTTTTAATGGTGTCAGGCCAAAATACTTCCCCGCAAAATGAATCTTTATCAGTGATTTAAATGCCCACATTTGGACATTGGCAAAGGTATCGCTACACTTGCACGAGTGGTTTAAACTACTTCTTGCACTTTTGCTGACTTTACATACCGGACTATTGACCGACACCAAAAGCTATCCGGTATACTTTTGAACATGCATAGCCCGAAAAAGGCATTCAGTTGCCTACAAAATATCTACAAAACGATCCAATAGCATGCTACAGTGTACATCTGTTATATCAACAGTCCTATACGCCACGGACTACGCCACGACAAACTAATTTTCTGAGAACAGATAAACTGACTTTTAACCGAAAGTTCAAAATATTTTCCGCAAATTGAAATTCAACCGCACGTTTTCTTGTTCACTGACCTGATTATAGTATGTAAGTTCCTGTCGCCGGCGATAACTGGCATCAAGAACCAAAACCGTTAAAATATGGAAATTAAAAACAAGCTAACTGCTTCCTTCTTTATTAACAAGCCTCTGAGTTTATCAAAGAAAGATAAAACAAAACAGAAAATAACAATGAACGTACCGACCATGACCACTAACTGGCATATGTACTGTGAAATCTACGAAACCTTCTTCACCGACCATTCTCTTAGTTAGTATCCTTCTTCGAGAATTGAAAATAGCAGTGAAGATTACACCGCATGTACAACCTAATTTAAGACACTATCATTCATTGGATTCCTTTAGTAGCCAATTCTTGTTTGACCCTCTGAAAATAGTCTGGATCGGGATAGCCAAACCTTAAACAAAGACAAAATCACGTTAATGGGTAAAGAGGACTGCTTTAAAAGCAGTCAAGCAAGCTAAGATAATTCCTGTTAGCAATAAGCGAAAGCTATTAGGCCATAAAGGATACATGAAACGGGTAGATAGTAGGACATGCAGCACAAAACATGGTTGGATGGATAGATGAATGAATTCAAGAAAAAAATAAAGCGACGGACGAACTGATGGATGGACAAAAGACAAGGAAGCAGAGCGGTAGTGATGGATGGATCGGATGAATAGAGAGATACAAGGATACAAAGATACTGGATACTACAGGTACATGCAAAACGAGGAAACAATTGTATCATATATGATTATAATTATTATCACAGTGTTAACCTCAAAGAATGACTCCCTGACTGCTCGATTCTACAATTGCGATATTTATTTTGCAAAACCTTTGCTTCACTTATAGTTACAGAACCTTATAGTGGTATACTGGTAGTAATAGTGTAAGTCTGCAAGTCTGCTTGACGTGAGGCTAAATTGGCCCACAACGGACTAGTGACGAGAAGTACCAGGAAAACATGTATGGACTAGACGGATTTTAAGAGAAAAGACGGACTGCAAGCAGTCTATATATGGACTATATATATTGCTTATCCAGAATTTCTCCTTACTTGTCAGGACCCCCAAATCTGTTGGTCTTGTGAAGAATATCATTCCATATCACTTGATTTGAAAGTCCTGTTCTATTTGAGATACCGATTGTAAATACCAGTCGAGCATTAAAGGCTCTCCTCAGAAGATGAAGCACCTCTCGTCCTTCACGATTATCTGGGAGATAAGCAGTGCGTGATGTGCCGTCATAATACCGCCCGGGATTGGGATGTTCTGGACCTTGTAATCCCGAAGGAAAGTGATAATCGATGACGATTGTGCCGTAGTCTACAAAAGTTTCATAAAATGGCAACATTAGAAATATAAACTGCACCGAATGAGAAAAAGCAGGAGAATAAGCATATGTTGTCATCTGTGGTACATTTCATTTGAAACAGTACCTACATTGCCAATGCATATACGTATATATTATTAAATACACGAGGACATACATTTGCCAC